GTGTGTTCACAACAAGTCCCAAGGCAGCTCTCTCGTCGCTTGGACTCAACTGAATATCCTTCCATTGGGTGTTGCCGTCAGCGAACACTTCTTACACCCGTTGTACATCCCCGTACGCCCGGGCAAGAGCCAATACCGTACTCGTCCTGATGTTCATGTTGGTCGGCCAAGGCACTTGCCTAAACACCCGATCGGAATCATTTTCCCAGCCAGGACATTGGTAACGACGTCTCTTCAACGCAGAAAGTAGAGCACGTATGTATAGGCTCTTGGTGGATGGTCTTGGACGTTTTTGGATGAAGTTCCATGGTTCTCTTGTGCTTGAAGGGGATCGACGTATGTTTGCTTCTCCAGAAGCGTCGACATAGGGTTGCGCTTCAGGTGTTTCGTAGGAAAGCTGTGCCTCGGGGAGGTTCAAGATGGTTCGAAGAGCCGGGAATGTTCGTGACTTTCGGGACAAGTGAACTGCGTCGGGGTTTCTGAATGGTTAGATTCGTTCTGAGCAGCTTGGAGGCCCAACTGCCTAGCCCCCTGTACGGGTGTGAGCAGATCTCGAGGCGGCTTGTTGTGCTGCTCCGAAGAGCCCACGCAACGCTGTCCTTATGGTGGGGATTGCAGTAGGAATTCAATGCCACTCCTCTCGCAGCTGGGTTGTTTTCCAAGAATCGACGTCGATGGCCTGATAGATAAATATATACCTGCTCAACGAGACTATCCACGACACCAAGATTGTCTTGATGCCTTCCTAATTGGTGAGGAAAGATGAGAATCTCTCACATGTGCTTGTCGATCGGGCTGCGTTCTTGCGGATGCGCATGTTCCACGCGCCTTGTCTACCAATGCTGCGAGACTCTCACCGGGCAATCACCCAGATGCCACCGGTTTGATCGACCGGTTTGATCGAACGGTTGCCTGCTGACCGTGCCCAACTTTGATATGATTCTGACACTGCCTCTGCCGCGGCTCCGCTCGTGACATAGAAGCGCGTTGGTTGTCCCTGCAACGAGGACCTCCTCCCTAGCGAGGAGGAACTTTAAGTCAAAGCCTTCTGTCTTGACTCGGGCAACACCAGGCTTGACCAGGCTTTATGTGATGTCAGCATCGTTTGGATGAGCTTCCTGGATGAATGTAGTACCTTGTTCTCGGGCGATGAGAGAAAGGATGATTTGCTTTGCTTGGCTTGATGTATCACAAAGCTCGCAGAAATCGCATCCGAAGCCACTTTCGAGGCAGTATAATGTACCGCCGCTTGGGAGAAGTGTAACACTGCCTCATCTCCGAAGCTTTAGCGTTGCGTTTACTCATCAGTAGCACTGTCGCGGAAGCGACCTTGACCTGGCCGGCTTGCAACAGGACGAGGACCACCTCAATGGCCATCGTCGGTGTAAGCCTGATAAGTGACGAGTAGGTCAAGTATGGGCAGTTTGGACCCGCTGCGAGGCATTGAACCGACTTTTCTGGCGATAAGGAGAGATCTGTAGATGCGAGGCCTTCGACTCTAGAACACTCTGATGCTGATTCGGGGTTGGCTGTCCTCAGAATTGAGGACTTCAAGGAGTCCTAGCATCTGTGGTTCTGATAAAAGGACTATCGTTAGCCCAAGACCAAATATTCTTTCCGAAGCCGACTTACCTTCTGGTCCAAGATGTTGATTCAAGGCTGGGATCAAGATTCAGGGGGAAATTCCAAACCGTGCCGTATGCTTCCTGGTACGTACAGCCTTGAAAAAGTCGGAAGGCTGGATGGCGCCGTTTATTTGATATATATATGAGGCTTGGAGGGTGGAGAATCAGACTTGGTAGATGATCTTTTGCGTTCCTGGTGTACGGATAGGAAATGGAGAATTGGCGTCAGATCTCATCGAGTGCTGTCCCGGCCCGGGTTTGGCGATCGTGGTGTGCCGTGCTAGGATGTTCTAGCTTCCTTGCACAACAAGAGTAACGACATCGGGATATTTGTCGGGGCCCAGTTTCACTGTCAATGGTCTTGCTGATCTGTCGGACTACTGTAGGTGTTTTGTAGCCTCGTAGTTGATCGCCAAATGCAGAGTCTGTCGCGTCTTCGATATTGAGCACAACCCACACAGAGCCTTTTCGATGCATCTCCTCAAACCCGGACTCAGTCCACCACCACCTGGTGAATTCCGTACTCGCATATAGTGAGAATTGCTTAAGGTATAAGTAGGTGCTGATTATGACACCGGCCGAAGAACTCGGTCTTGCTCTAATTGGATATGACCAGAACCTGCAGCCTTTTGTTGAAGCGTCGCCATTTTGACTCCCACAAAGAGAACGTCAAATACATTGTGTTGTTGTTGTTTCCTTTTTGTAGTAATTGTGGTGTGAGCGCAATGGCAAGCACGACCCAGCAAGGACCGAAGTACAGAGGACACATGGGCGGGCGAGGTGTTGTGGTCGAGTACCCAACAACAAGAAGGTTGGCGGATGGTGGCATTAACATGCAGCTCTATGTCTTGCAGGCGGCTTTCCATTCTGTGCTCGAGCACCCGACAACAAGAAAGTTGGCGAGCTTTCCCCATTCTTTGCTCGACCAGCCGACAACAAGAGGGTTGGCGGATTATGCCATGACCATGCAGCACTATGGCATTGCGCGCGGCTTTCGTCACTGAAGCCACCTTGTCGAACCGCGCTGATCAGGGGCCGTCGCCTGGCGGACATCTTCGATTCTGACATACAGTTTTGCCTGTAAGAGGGTCAGAAACAGAACAAATCATCAATAAGACTTACATCGTGGGCGTCGATCAGGTTTCCGGAAATGCCTAGATGCTGTTCGCTGAAATCGATGATAGTGGTGTCTCGTTGTCGATGAGCTTTTGTAATGCCCAAATAGTAGCGTCTCGAGTCTCCATAGCATCGGCCGGCTTCCTCAAGGCCGCTGGTAGACTTTTGGCACCCAGTAGCATGACTCGCCTCAGAGTCCGAGCGAACTTTGCCAAGGGAGTCAGCACTTCGAAGTGCTGAGCGCAAGCCGCCTGCTCAAAAAGCGCCCGCCTCCTTACGACCAAAATTCCGCAATCCCTCAACCACCAGACTGTCTCAATGACCCAGCGTTGGCAATTCAAGCCCGCCCGGATAAACGGGTGGCAACCTGAGAGAGCACTGGCAGTCTTTTGGGCAAGGCTTTGCAGCCTCCCACTTGTTCCCTTCTTTACAAGTCGGACATCAAGCAAACCTGTTCTTCTGTTTTTCGAAGATGCGCTTGAAAAGGGTTTCGAGGTGCAAACATAAGTAAGTGATTGAGGTGTAGCTGATAGCTCGCGAGAACAACTCTCTCTGGGAGCCAGTCGCTTGTGCCGCGAACAATCTTGAGATCTTGCAGGTTGCCCATGTTTGCATTGACTAGGACCTCCATCAAGCGGATGTCATCCATCCTCGCAAGACCTAGGCCGACGCTGTTGATCCAGTCATAGTATGGTCAGTATTGTGGACGCTTGTCCGTGGTAAAGAAAGGGATCTCGACTTTGAGTCTTCGGGCTGCGCCCTAGATGACGTTTTTGTGAAACCACCGAGAATATTGGACAGCGTTATCGCTGTTGGTTGCCTTCCATCTGTTGTGTTCGATTTCGTTGTGGCTCGTCGACGTTTCTTGGAGGAGGACCTGGAGCACCCTCTTGGTTTGGTGCAAAGGAAGGCATCATGGCGGTGGCCAGAGGCAAGGCACCGTTGTTGTTTGTGCCGGCAGCGCCTCTCATGGTTTCCCAGATGCCGTTTGCTTCCGCGAACGGGATCTTAGAGACGCTACCGTACTTCGACAGAATCCGCTCACTTCCATGGCGCGCAGCACGAGCAGACACGAAGAAAAGTGTGGGCTGTCCTTGTAACAGATATAGTCAGCGTTGATCCCCCCACAGGTCGTTGGGTCATGAACTTACTTGGATGGGATGGGCAATTTGTGCCGTGGCGAGCTCATAAGGCGATTGCGTACACCCTCGTGCAGGGACAACTGCTCGTCTAAGCTTGAGAGAGTCTCAAAAGGGCGAAAAGAGACCATCCGAGTTGCATCTATGAAGTCGCTTCATAATGTAAGCGCGGTAAGTGACTTTGCCTGGTCCGATTCGCGCGGTAGTCCACGTTGTCTTTCTGACGAGCGTCTTCTCCTGTGGAAACGAAGACAAGACCAGTGGTCAGATTCTTCAATGACAGCTCCGAAATTTGCTGGGCATGGTAGCAGAGTCAACCGAAGTTGTGCATGATGGCCAGGGCCAGAAGTGCGATCCTCTGCTTCTGGTTAAAGGCTCACTAGGCCGTTGATCGAGCAGAGGAAAGAATATATATAGATACCATGCTGATTTGCGAGCTGGCCATTCGGCCCTGGGCTTTGATGTTGTGGGAGGAAAAGATCCCACACAGGGAGGAAGAGTGGCTTACTTATACCCGCGAAGGCTGAGCTGAATTGTGAATGGTCAAGGCGCGCAGTGTCAGAAAGGGGCTCTGGTGAAAGGAGCCGTTTCAGTCGGCCTGAATATTCTGAACCATTGACGAACAACATGGGGGCGTGAAGAGCGATAAGTCTTACAGTTATTGACCGAGCGTGACACAGTGACATTCGCAGCTTGCGAGCTGAAACACGCAAGGCCAAGATCGGTTCTGGGGAAGTGAAATCCGTGCGCAATGCAATGTATTCCGACCATTTCGGATCGAAGCGCAATATGACTGGATGGACGTCGTTTTCCATGAGAGGCCGGTCTCATACACGCTTAGATTTGACGCATATTCATTTTATAATATACATACCCATAGGCTATCCATAAACAAAGCTATATGCTCATAGAGACCAACACTGCCATAATGCTGCTTGCTAAAAATACCAGTATGCACACGAAATCTCATTCTCACCAACGAATGTGTCGGTGCTTGAACCCGTCACCAAGGCCTCGCCTCCGATTCGGTTCGAAGAACTGCCTGGATGACTCGGTCCGGCGGACCACATCGTTCGTGTTCATGTTCGTCCGAGCCTCCACTTGTTCGTCGAGGTACGACGAACGCCTCTTCAAGCCGGACTGGCCCGAGGGCGGGATACCTAGGGGATTTGCGCGCTGCCACGTCCGCAGACTGTCACACTCGCTCTTGAAGTCGTCCTTGCTGGCGTAGTCGGCGATGTCGTCAGGCCGCTCGAGCCATTGCAGAGCCAAGCCGCCGTCGACGTGCCATACAATATGGCAGTGCATGAGCCACGCGCCGGGGTTGTCGGTCTCGAAGCCAATGACCGTGTAGCCTGCCGGGCTGCCGGGCGCAGCAGAGCCGACTAGCATGGCGGTGTCGCGACGGGGCGGGTTGTCGAAGTTCAATGTCGACACTTTGTCCGGTGTCCAGTTTGTCGTGCCTTGACCGAGGAGTGAAAAGTCATGGCCGTGAAGGTGCATGGGGTGCGAGGCGAAGAATTGGTTCTGGATGACGAAGTAGACCCATTGGTTGGCGGAGGGAAGGGTGATGGCGTTGGAGATCAAACTGGAACTGCTGTTCGTCGGGGTGGTGCTGTTGCCGTTGACGCTGGAGTTGCCGATGCTGCTGGTGCTGGAGTTGCTGCCAATGCCATATTGGTGAAGGGTCTGGAGCGTGGGCTGCGTGTAGTTGACACCGATGGCGTTGTTATTCAGGAACCAGCGGAAGACGGTGCCGCTGTCGCTGGTGGCAACTCGTGCGACGTTACCAGCCGGCAGGGTCGAGGCAGTCGCCGCGAAAGCGCTGGCCGACCCCGCTGATTTCTTGACAAAGGGGACTAGCGAGGTGATGGGTTCATCGGCACAGATGGCAAAGTCCTCGCCCGTTTTGTTGCCAAAGGTAGAGGTTGGTAGCGTGGGCTGGGCACCGTCGTAGAGGAAGACACCGTTGGCGGCGCCGAGGCCGGTGTTGTTGCAACCGCTCGGGCAGCCGGTTTGGGTGACTGCACGTAGGAAGTAGCCTGCCGTCGGCTGGTTCATCTCGACAATGACATCGTAACGCTGGCCGATTCCGATGTTAAGCCATTCCGTTTCGTAAGGAACGATGGGGACATAGTCGGTTGCTATGACGAGCATTTTGTGGTTATCGAAGTGCACGGAGAACATGTTCTGCGAGGCCGAGTTGATCAGGCGGAAGAGGTGCTTCTTGCCCGGTTGAACCTTCCAGAGGGCGTGTTGGCCGGCGGAGAGGTCAGGTTTGGTGTTCTTGCCGTTAAGCAGGTAGTTGACCGTGCTGAGAGAGCGGTCAGTAAGCCATGTAGAGATTAGGGATGTTGGAGACTTACCCGGTAGGTCCAAAGTGGGAGATCAACTCGTTCTGCTGTCCTGCCGTGCCGGTAAAGGTGTCGTCGACCATAACAGTGCCCATGTCGATGTCGTAGTTGGCAGTTGCAGGACCGTGGATGACCATCGGTCCTCGGATTCCTTCCCCATATTGCGCCATCGTGTGAGCATGATACCAGCTATTCTACAGATTAGTCCAAGATTCGTGACGATTCAAGCGCATGCCTCACCCGGTGCCATACTGGCTTAAACGCATGGTGTAGGTACGGGACGAGCCTGGTGCCAGGCCGCACTCGGTGATGCCAGGAACACCGTCTTGATCGTTAGTTCCTCGTTGCCAGATACCTATCTCAGAGCGTCAGAAGAGTATTCGATGTGAGCCAGATCCAAAGCTCACCGTGCCAATGAATGGACGTAGAGTTGTCTGTCAGTTTGTTGTGGACAGTAATCACAAGAAGGTCACCCCAGTTGCATTCGATCAACGGACCAGGAACTTGTCCATTGATAGCGAATGCCATTTTAGGACCACTGCCATCAAAATCTATGGTAGTGTTGGTGATTACCAAGTCATAGGAGCACGTGTTGTCTGTCGCGTAGTTCTTGGTGGAGTAGTCGTCCCTGATGCTCAGACCATTGCACCATTCGCTTCGGTCAGCTGCCGTGTTGCAGGCGGCGGCACCCGTGATGGGACCATTGGGTGCAGACACATTGGATGAGGGTGAGCCTGGCTCTGGCCAGGAGCCGTCGCTGGGCCAGTCGGTGTACGTTGGTGCGGGTACGGTAGACGTCGAGGTAGCAACATTCCCAGTCCATGTAAAGACAGCGCCGTCAGTACCGATGGTGCTTTCCGGGCTGACGAGAGACGAGGCCACTGGTGTAGAGGTTACGGCGCTCTCGGGATCGACAACAGATGACGCTGCCGTTGTAGAGGGTTTATTCGTAGCGGTAGGGATGGGAGGGAAAGGTCTCCCACTACCGTCGACGGTAACTGTGGTGGTCGCACAGAAACCGGGCCCAACGAAGATGGTGGAACGATATACTGTTGTAGTCTCTTTGAAGACTGTCGTAGTAGTTGTGACCGTGGTTGTCTCTGTAGCAGTAGCAGCAACCTCCATCCGCGGAGCAGAGACGATCGTTGCGGGAGATGGACTCGCGGAAGCAGAAGCCCAGTCGTTCCAGCCTTCGGCAAGTGAACGCCCTGCTAACCCCAGCGCCACCAACGACGAGGACTTTGTGAACCTCATCTTGACCCCGTCGTGGATCAAGTATTAAAAGATGAGATGTTTTTGGTAAAGAACGGCAGGGCGGTTTTTCAGTTGTCTACCCCAGACAACATAACGAGAGACCACAAGCGCAAAGAAGTGGCAGGGGAAAAGTCACCCACAAATGTGAATCGTGTATGCCAGATTTGAAGAAGATGAGGGGTGAGACAGCAAGCGAGGCACACAGACAGTTTTGAATGTCATCGTAGCATGGTATGATTTGTCCAGAAGCTCTCCGACTTCAGTCAGATGCAGGCTCCTGAACGGAATCAGCAAGGCGTCAACTCGAAAGGAGAGGTTCTGCGGTGCTTCAACCGTAGATGACAGCTCGGCGTGCCATGTCAAAATCCCCAAAAGGAGGGCTGGGGAAATGCTTCCGCCTGAGATGATAGACCATCTCCCACAAGGTAGTGCCCAGATCGAGAGAACGTCTTCGTCTTGATCGTGAACAGATCCGTGTTGTCATACTCACCATCCAGCAGCTGCGTGGCTATGCCGGCATTCGACGAGCTCACCAGCCTCAAGGTCCCTAGCCGTTGGCAAGGACCACCGCGAATCAGTGACGGCTGGTCAGGATAACCATATTTCTTGAGGAGTGGTCAGGGCCGTGCGCAATGGTCAACGAGATTGACCTGGTAGGTGCTGCTCCATGAGTGTTCGCGCCAGCCACTTCTGGGCCTGAGTTGTATGCAAATGGTGTTGAGTGCAGTTGGATTCACAAAAGTAGAGATGCGAAATTGCTCCTTGGTCATGAAGCGACACAAATACCCGCCACTGTGGTGATTCTGGTTAAACACGGTAACCCGTGACCCTCCCTAAAGGCACAAGTTGTGGGTGGCCTCATAGGGCATGATGGGGCCGAACGTGATTCTCAGGGGTCTTGATGGGCTTCCCCGGCTCTTTTTCTAAGCTTGTTGCTTTGGCGTCGACATGCGCACCGTGCTGATGGCAGTGTAGCTTAGCAGACTTGGCCTCAGCAATGCTGTTTGACACACCTTTCCTCTCTCACGGTTGGGATCGTCCCCTGAATAGAGGAGTCTGCCATGTGTGACAAAACGTGGCCATCGGATGACAGACAGGCTTCCCCGTAATTGATCGCCTTTCCCTACCAACCTGGCAGGACTATCACAGCATTCGACGACTGTCCGGAACATACTGAATCTGGCCAGGTGTGTACGCAATCAGGCTCCTTATGCTATCCGTGTTGAACGAGTGTCACGCGACAGGGGAATGTATCTGACGGCAAGAACATGGGCCACTGGTCACGTCTAATGGCAATTTGCACAGCGACGCGTTCAGAGTTCTGCACAGTTCGAATCTGAAGTCCTCCTGAACTACGAAAGTCGGCTCCTACGGACCATGCCTTCTGTTATGGAACGTAGCAAGCACAACACCGCATGCTAAGACAGACTAACTTGAGTGCTTTCGACTTGGCGTGGGACTTTCCCCCGTAACCCCAGGCAATGTCAGCACCATATTTCGCATGGATATCTCGTTCTGACGCAAAGCTCTTGAAAGCCTCTGCTCCTCTCCAAGAAGCCCGACTTTCTTGGGTATCATCCTTTGCAACACCATAATTCACCAAAATTGAGCAACGATCAAGCAAATTGCCAAAGGCTCCGTGAAGATTCGTCACTTCATGGCAAAGTCAAATTCCTCAAAGTCTTCACGTAGACCTTGTGCATCCTCCTCCTCTGCCAGCTGCTCACTACCATCCTTCCGGAGGAGGGCATCCATCCAGTTCACTCTGTTCTCAAGCTTCAACAAACCCGCCATGACTTCCCTGCCAAACCAGATGTTGAATTTTTGATCGGAAGGCAGAGGGAAATACATTGACTTGGTGACACCGAACTCTTTGTCGCTGCTGCCATTCGTGCGGTCAGCCATCTCGACCGGGTCAGACACCCACGTCCATACTCTGAAGTAGTCGGCCCGTACAGGAAGCAGGCTGTCGGGTTCGCAAGATTCAAAGGCCGGATATTCGTGCTTTTCCCTCGATACCTTGAAAGCAGCCTCTACCAAGCCCTTCTTGATCGGCTCCGATTGGCAGGCCAGGACTTGCCAATGGTGATGACGAATGCCTGTACGGTTGACCTCCCAGCACACCGCACCTAGCTGTCCTTGACTCTTCGAACCAATCATCTCGGACAGAGCCTTGCGGAATTTGTTCATCTCATTGAACTCAGTAGACAGCTCTTCGGCGGATCTCTTGCCCTGGGCCATTTCATCTGCTGCATGGTAGTAGGGGACAATCATAACGTGACCAGTGGATGATAGTTGAGGGAACGTTGATGGTAGCGGAAGTGGACCTCTTGAGGCTGTAACCATGCTTTCCTCACCCAAGGAGACCACCAAGTGAGTCTTGGTGCCAGGCTTATTCAAGCACATGAAACAGTCGTTAGGATCCTTTACACGGTCTCTTCGAGCTCGTTTCGATTGCCGCCCTTCGTATCCTGTAGTAGCGTATCGGCTATACTGCTCTGAATCGTCCATATTCTGGCGTTTTCTTGGTGGCGATGCTCTAGTGAATGGTGATGCACGTGGTGGCTCGACAGTGGGCGGCGGCCGCGATGTGTCCAAGCTGAATGCTGCCATCCATTCTTTGGTTGCAGCAGCAACACTTGGAAGACTCTTGAATCTGGTGACTGCCGGCTCCTCCAACGAGTCGTAGTCCAGGGCGTGCTTGAAGGGCTCGCGCTCCCAGAGGGCCTCGGCACTACTTGAGAAGTGATACCATGGCTTCAGTGCTTGACAGAGATTTGAGATCGATTGTGACCCTGAGCTGCCGTCGACATTTGCTGGGAGATCAATGCTTGAGCCATTTGTGATATTTGCCGGCCATTGGTTCGTGATGAGGATGTGAGCAGAATGCGCGCCGTGAAGGCCTCGTGCGTCGAGATCAAGGTACAGTGGATCGCATTTTCCGAGCTTCTGAGTGAGAGACCCTTCGTTCTGGACAAGTCGGCCTCCGAGGGAGACCACCTTGACTCCTTCAGCGGTAGTCATTGTGCCCTTGCGCCCGAGGTAGAACAGGTTGGCGCAGAGATCATCATCAGCTTCTAGCTTTGCCTTCACTGCCTCTGGGAAGACCGAGTTGCCCACGGTGAAGTATGTCGGTAATGGGATGTTGATCTGACCTGACAGCAAGGCTTGCAAATCCTCGCCATTGTTGTCGTCGCCATCAGCTCCAAAGACATCGCCAACAATGATCGCAAGCTGGAAGTTCTGTTTGGCCTGCAGCTTTGATATCTTGTCGAAAGCCTTTTTGAGCTGGCCTTGAATGCTTCCTACCACAAGACTATGAAGTTCAGCTTGCAATAACCTAAAGGAGAGACGAATGAGTGCTTACATCTTTGCGGTACCCATCGTGAGAAATTCGAGTGTTGTTCAGACTGAGACGTGCATGGAGAGTGGATAGTTCGGAATGAAGAATATCTTTTCAGGTTATGAAGATGTATTTTATATCAACCCAGAACGAGAACAGCAACGTTCTAGAGTATAAAGCCGCGGCTAACCGAAAAGTGTTCGCAGAGTTATCTGAGGCTTGTGTGAGAGATCAAAGCTGATATCAAGTCTGACGAGGCCATGGTCAAGGAGTGCTTGTTGTGCTTCGATCAATGCTTCGAGTACGGACTTTGCAAATCTCGAATTCGCCGTCAGTCCAGCGAATGCTTCGCAGTATCAGACCTACAGTGAATCATTTGAACTGATTATGCAGTTTTGTGCGGGGAAGTTTCCGTGTTGCCTCTGGTGTCTGGTGCCTCCAAAATAAATTTCTAGACTTTTTGCCCGATCATTTTGTAGTCGGTCTGCGCCTTGCAGTATTCCTACTCAAGTAGATGCTGAGGTCGACAATGGTCCTTCGCTGCCGTCGATGACATTCATGGACATGGCTCCTATATCTCCCGGGCCAGCCGCCCGCCAGCCTCGCAAGACGAAGAAATCCAAGCCCACCGAGTCGACAAATCTGCACCGATTCGTACCTTTCACGAAGCGCATCTCCAGATTAAAAATTGATCCTGTCCACAAAGTTGAAAGACGAAAGCCTGTGAATGATGAGACAGACTTGAACCAAAGTTACTTCCACACTGCGCTGGAAGAATGGGCAGAATTGAACTTGTCGCAAACATTCACGACGTTCCTGAACAAAGCGAGCCCACTCAGCGAGAATCTCCCACAGTTGCTACACCATGCCGATACCATATTTGAACTGCTGCTACAGCATATTGAGAAGAAAGATGCTTTGGCTCTGGAGCCGCTCTTGAGCCTTGTTGCCCATCTTGCGCACGATCTTGGCCAGGGATTTGAACAATACTTTTCCAGAACGGTGGACTTGGTCGCGCAGGTTGCAGCTTCTCATGACAGTGCCGACGTGATCGAGTGGTGCTTTACATGCTTAGCATGGATGTTCAAGTATCTCTCGAGGCTGCTAGTCCAGGATCTGCGGCCTCTGCTCGACATTATGATGCCGTATCTGTCTTCCAAGAAAGAGTACATTGTTCGGTTCAGTGCAGAATCCCTCGCCTTCTTACTGAGAAAGGCCGCGGTGATGTACCAAAAGAAGAGAGCACCACTCATTCTGGCAATGAGACACCTGTTGGAAAGCCGTGCGAGCGACTCGGCACCAGCCCTGCCTTCATACCAACTCGGTGTCATGACCCTGTGCGTCGAAAGTGCAAAAGGGATTGACGGCACTTTGCACTCCAGCGCTGAATCGCTAGTTCAATGTCTACTGGAAGTCTCCATACCGATATGCCAGCACGAAGAAGTCCGATCAATTGTTGAAGGCATCCTCATCGCTCTCATTCATGAGACTGACAGTATTGGTTTCCATCCCGTGATGGATATGGTCCTCAACAAGGTCCGGCAGTGTACAATTTCCACTGAGCCAAACCAGGTGCTTTTTGCTCTGAGGCTCCTGGCCATAGTCTTGGGCACCAGGAAAGGCTCGAGAATCTCTGCGTGGAAGGACGCCATACAAGCATTCCTAGACATTGCTAAGATTGCAGTGAAGACGCTGGACGAAGAGAGTAATCTCAACAAAGATTTGGATGCGGCGACTCGCATGAGGCAAGAGTTGCTTACGCTTTCTGCTGAAGTTCTTGCGTTCGCCCCCATGGACCATTTGCTGCCGTATTCCCAGAAGATATTGGACTTCCTGACGAATCAGCTCGCGCCGGCGGGCCTTTTCGCCTTCTGCAACTTCTGTGCAGATCTGAGCAGGTCGAGATTTACCGACCTTGTACTCCCTCGGCTCCAGCAGTACCTTTTGGCCCACTGGTCTGACGACGAAGCGGGCACATATTACCTTCTGGAGAGATTGCAACGGGCTGGCACTATCTCTAGTGGCAAGACAGGCTCTCGTTCCGTTGACTGTCCTCCCAATTTCAAGGACGTCCTCCTTCATCAGCTGCGGACAGAGAGCCTTGAAGATACTGACACGCAAGTGGAACAATTCGCCGGAAGGATCCATTTCCCACGAATCGTCCGATTTCCCCGAGGTCCAGAACAAGTTGCGACTGTGCTTTCTGAGTACCACAAACTCGTCGTACAGGCTCTTAAAGAAACTGGCACTGATCCAGGCCTCCGCTGCCGGGTAGTTCTAGGATGGGGTCTGCAAACTTATCTTGACCTCCTAACGGAAGACAACAATTCGATTGCGGAATTATCTTCAATGGTGTTGAAGACTTCTCCAGCCCACTTCCATCTCCACGCTTTCTTGCACGCGAGCAATCGTCTTTTCGAGAAAGTGCCTGCCAGTATGACAGCCGCGGACAGAAATCTGGACACCGTTCGTTACGTGCTCGTCCAAAACTTGTTGAGCAATTCAAAATCTCTGAAGGAGGAATCTTTAAACCTTTTATCTCATCTCAGTGCCGGAGAGGACAAGGAGTGGCTCTCAGAAACTGTCGACCTCATGCACGATATCCTTCAAAGCCCGTACACCCCTTCTGAAGCTCGCAAAATAGCAATGTTTCTACGACGTCTGCCTCAACGACAAAGAAAACTCGGTTCGACTGCATCATTGGAAAATCTGGTACCATTCTTCTGCCTCGGGTTGTTAACACACTATCACGACCAGACTAGACAAGAGGTCTGCAATGTTCTTGCGCAAATCGTGGAGGCAAGCTCCGTCGAAGAATCTGTGGTCAATATCGCGATTCAGTGGCTACAGTCGCCAATAGCTCTTCCTCACGGACCGGAAGACGATCGTGCGCAGGTGAAGGTGATGCCTTCAGCTTTTCACTGCACGAATTTGTCGAGTTTAGATTCGCAGTGCGAGCAATTGTTGCAGGACTACTTTTCGTCAAGTCAAAGGCTTCTCAAGCTAGTTGAGGACGATCACATCCTTGAGAACACCAGGACCCCTAATAACGGACGAACTCTAGCTCTCCAAGTTTTGTCATCGATTCCCGCATCGGCGGAACGGCGATCGCGTCTACTTGTACCCGTGTTTCTAGGTGCTCCAATGACCCGGGGACAAGTCCAGCAGAATTCGGGCTCAGACACATCGACATCCTCCAACACAGTCACACCAGATGTCGATGACAATGAATGGTCGCTGTCAGACCGCAAGGCGTTGCTGACTCTTTTCGGCAAATTCGTTAACCCCAGAGTCCTATTCAGGGCTTCTGAGGTTCACGAAAAGCTCGTTGCTCTCCTCGGGAATGGCAATCTCGACGTGCGGAAACTGGCTCTTCAAGCAGTCCTCACGTGGAAGGAACACTCCCTTACTCGATACGAGGCTACTCTGTTTCAGATTGCCGAAGACAAGTCAACCACGACAGACCTGGGTGCTCTGTTGAATGCCGAAGAGGGTCAAAACACCATCAAGCCCGATGATCGCTCCGTTGTCCTTCCGATTATGCTGAGGTTGGTTTTCGGCCTGATCGTTGGGCGAGCTGGCACTACGGGCTCACAAGAAGCAAGAAGGAAAACCATCATACGCACTCTGTTCCGTATGCAGGAGCACGAGGTTACTATGTTTCTGGATATTGCCCTCGGCCGATTAAGGGACATCAAGATATTGCCAGACCGACCAAACTACCTCTTCGAAGACATACAGCTTCCTGACGACCAACAATATGGTTTCCTCCGCCTGCTGCTGTCCATGTTGGAAACTCTGCAGAGTCGCTTTGCTCCTTACGGTCAACAGGCTGTTGATGCTGTTGTGTTCTGTGTCATTAGAGCTTCTACCCTCACAAGGTCCTCAAGCTCGTCCTCAGCTCTGTCCCGCAACATCAGGCGAGTCGGGTTTCAATGTCTTGTTCTCCTGTCTCTGGATTGCCCTGATATCGACTGGCCACGATATCTGCCGAGTCTTTTCACGAATGCAATCAGCCCCCGTCTCGAGATCTTTGCTTCGGAAACAAATCAGGGCATCTCGGGGTTGCTACGGCTCTTCTCGTCATGGGCACAATCTGTCGACATGGTGAGTTTCCTCGCACGATACGACAGCCGTGTCCCAAGTGTACTATGGGAATGCCTTGCAGCACAGGCTGCACAGAACGAAGTAAAGACTTTTGTCCTTGAGGGGATCGTTCTCCCCTTGGCAGGTCTCGCTGAGGCCGAGTCGGTCACTCCGAACGAAGCTCGCGAACTGCTCGAGCGTGAGACCGATAATCTGCTGAGTGCGCTGTTGACACTCCTTCAACGCGCTCCGCCCAAGGACCTACTCAGCGCCATCACATCGGTTCTACCCCGAATTGCTCCGTTCGCAAAATCTTCAGATTCCAGGCAAGTAACGATCCGTTTGTTGACGGCTCTGTTGCGCGATTCTGCGCACAGGCTGCCTCCCAATGTCAAAAGCCGGCTGCTTCGGTCAATTCAGTCTTTTCTGGATACTTTAGACGAGTTCGAAGACGAGGACAGCCAATCACGACTTTTGGATTTGGTGTCCTCTCTGTTCAACTACTTCAAGGATGAGCCTAATCGTCAAGTCCTCTGCCAGGTCATGGGAAGGCTCTCTGTGCTCGATCCGGACCTCGCACTCGCAGCACAGCTCTGCCATGATATAAACGCTGTTTCGACACAACAACTCGAGGAGATCGACTACGACAGGCGGTTCCAGGGCTTCCAAACCATAAACTCGGTGGAAGTCGACAACAATGAAAAGATATGGCTCCCGATTGTGCAGAATTTGTTGTTTTTCGTCAGGACAGCTGATGATTTCTCAATACGATCAAATGCTTTGAGTTGCCTCAAGCAGTTCATCGTCAAAGCTTGCGAGGCGAAGAGCACCGGGTTCACGAATCTAATCACTGGCATAATACTTTCTTCCGTCCGCAAGGGTATTAGATCTGAGTCGGAACTTGTGAGAGCTGATTTCGTCTCTTTGTATGGGCTCCTCGTACAGCATGTTCGCGGTGATCCGGACCTGGAGAGCTTGACGGTGCTCCTTGTCGGCAATGATGAAGAAGCATCTTTTTTCTCAAATATACTCCATATCCAGCAGCACCGCCGATTGCGGGCGATTCGACGTCTCGTCGCCGAGGTTGAAAAGGGCGTTATCAGTGTACGCAATAATGCCGAGCTCTTTGTCCCTTTGCTGGAGATGTTTGTCTATGACTCCAGCAATGATGAGTCTGCTCAGAACACCAAAGGTCAAAGCATAGCTGCAATGAGCACGATACTTCAATGGATCGAGTGGAAACACTTCAAAATGTTGTTTCATAAATACAAGAATGACATCCATGGGGGTGAGAGCAATCGAAAGGTCGCAAGTAGGCTCCTCAGTCATGCGGCCGATGCGTTGTTGACGGCCAGAAGCCATCAATCGGAAGAAAACAGGGCGAGTCCTGTTCCACACTTGACACGGTCACTCCCATCCGGCCAAACCATTGAGAACGACATCCGGACACACTTCATACCCAAATTTGCCGAGCTTGTACACTACAAGGACGAGGCCGAAATCAGTTTTCGCATCCCAATCGCAGTCACGACCATCAAGCTGATTACAGTGCTACCACAAGAAGAGGTTCATATGCTTGCTGCTCCAATCATTCTCGACATTGCTCAGATCCTCCGGAGCCGTACTCAAGAATCACGCGATGTCGCACGCAACACACTTTGTCAAATTGTCTTGTTGCTCGGAACCTCAAGTTTACAGTTTGTGTTGAAAGAGCTTCGTACCGCATTGACGCGAGGCTATCAACTGCACGTGCTGTCATACACTCTCCACGCCATTCTTGTGGCTATTACTCCAAGCACCAAGCTCGGAGATCTCGACTACTGCGTCGAAGATCTTGTGGCGGTAGTCATGGACGACATTTTTGGTACCGTTGGCCAGGAGAAGGACAACCAGGACTACGTCAGTAGTATGAAAGAGGTCAAAAGCAACAAAAGTTACGATTCAATGGAGTTGTTGGCAAAGTCGATAAGCGTACCATCATTGTCAAAGCTCGTTGCGCCCATCCAGGTCCTCTTACTAGGCACCTTGACTACAAAACAAGTGCGGCAGGTTGATGAGCTCCTTCGCAGGATCGGGGCAGGTGTCTCACAGAATCCTGGTGCGAGCAAGCGGGATCTGTTGGTCTTCGCATACCAGCTGATTCAGGCCATTTATAAGGAGAAAGAGAACAACCGTGTTCGAGCACTCACTCTCGAGGAGAAGAGCCGGCAGAGGTACCTCATCCAAATGACTTCGGCGTACAAGGCGACCACTGGCCGGACCTCACCATTATTGTATAAGCTAGCACGATTTGCTCTTGATCTGGTACGATCTATTCTTCAAAAGCACGATGAGGTCCTCACAGCAGAGAACGTACACGGATTCCTTCCTGTGATCGGCGACGCTTTGGTCGAAGCGCAAGAGGATGTCAAGACCTCTGCAATGCGCCTGTTGTCAGCCATAATCAAGTTACCGATGCAGGAACTTGACCAGAACGGGCCATTGTACGTGACAGAGGCCGTCAAGGCCGTCAAGAATGCGACCAGCACCAATGATGAAGCTTGTTATGCGGCGTTGAAACTGGTGGCTGCGATTCTCCGTGAGCGGAAGGGGGTCAAAGTCCGAGATCTCGATATCGCAGAGCTCTTGCAGAGACTCGCCCCGGACATCGAGGAATCGGATAGACAAGGCGTTACGTTTAACTTCATTCGGGCGGTCATGTCACGCAAACTCCAGTTACCCGAGATTTACGAATTGGTCGACAAAATCGGGATCATGATGGTCACTAACCAGGCCAAAGGAGCGCGAGACATCGCTAGAGGTGTCTACGCTCACTTCCTGATCGAGTATCCGCAAAGCTCCACGAGATGGTCAAAGCAGCAAAAGTTCCTGATGAAGAACCTGGAATATGAGTATCCAGAGGGTAGGCAGTCCGTTTTGGAAGCCATCAATACCCTCGTCGCGAAGACGAAAGGAGAAGCTGCCCAAGACCTGATCTCCACATTCTTCGTTCCGGTACTGCTCCGAATGGTGAATGACGACAACATGGGCTGTAGAGACTTGGCTGGAGCTTTACTTGGTCAAATTTTCCGCTCGGCTGATCGTGCTCACTTGCGGGATCTCCTGGGACCCTTGAAGTCGTGGATGGAACAGGATGACAGTGAGGCGTTGCAGAAAGTCAGTATGCAAGCTTACAATATCCTCTTGAGCTCTGACGTTGCCATGGAAGACGAGGAGGTGGCCAGTATCCGTGACAACCTTGCTCGGGCACTGCAACAGCAACCGACAGAAGATGAAGAACATTGGGAAGTCCTGTTCCAGGCTTTGCTGCTATTGTCAAAATCCGTTCAGGCTCATCCAGATATGGTGCTGAATCAGCAGCAGACCAACCTGTGGTCCCCGGTGTGGAAGTCATTGGGTCATACACATGCTTGGATCCAAAGCACAGCTGCAAGCTTGATCTGCGACTTCTTCCGACATTGTTTAGATGCAGATCATTCAAAGCTGCCACTGAAGTGCGATCGTGGCCTGCGGCTCAATGGGGAGAAATTTCTCGAAATTCTCAAGGCGAGCGTTCGCATCCTTCGACGTGCTGCAGGCAATGAGGAGCTCAGCTCTCAAATAGTGCAGATTCTTGTGTTCCTTGGACAATGTGTGAATGTTAATGGACTGACGATGGAGGTTGCCGATAAATCAGCGGATGATGAAACTCTAGAGCTGGAAGACGAAGCAGATCTCGATGAGGAACAACCCCACAGGAGGAAGAAGATTCCAGCACTTCAATATCTTCTGGATCAGACGACGCGAATCTTGAGGATTGAATTGACATCGCTCACCTCTGCTGCACTACTTCCGAAGAAGTCATCTTTGGTCCTGCTTTCGAACTTGATACCAACTCTGTCCATGGACCATCTCAGGCCGAGTGTCCACCACATCCTCGCTCCACTCCAGCATCTGACCGACCCGAACACCATTCCACCCCGTTCTGCAGATCCGACCTTCGCGGCTACATACCAGAACTTGATCGAGTTGGCACACGAGGTCGTGGAGAAATTACAAGTCAAGCTGGGAGACACAGAGTATGTGAAGGCGCTGACGGAAGTGAGTCGATACATGCGCAAGAGAAGAGAAGAGCGGAGAATGAAAAGAAGGATCGAGCGTGTTGCCGAGCCGGAGAGGGCTGCTAGGGAGAAGAAGAGGAAGGGAGATAGGAAGAAAGAGCGCAAGAAGGAGATTGGACAGACTTATCAGAAGAGACGGAGAGAGATGGGGATGTAGTGTTGAAGTGTTTGTTTGTCTTATTGCATGGGACGGCATCATGTTTCAAAAGGGATTGCTGGTTGAACTTGCGATCGCATAGCGTCGGCGCTTGTCCATGTTGCGGAGGCTGCATGGATGGATGGAATATATGCTGATGATACGACCGCTTCTTCTGTTCTCTTCTTGCTCGATGCTTGCCCATCTGCCTCTGTATCGGCCCATTCAATCCTCTCAACCATTCACGCTGGCCGACCTAGGAATATCCGTTCCCACCGCCGCCGTAGCACCAGCATCGACCGGCAATATCACCCCGGTCATCCACCTCGACTCCGGCCCGGCCAGGAATCTCACCGCACAGCCTACATCCCACCCATTCCCCTCCGTCTTCAGCAGACTCCTATTCTTCCTCGCCTCACGCGCCTCCTCAGGCATTCCGTGCTGGTACATCATGGGAGTGTACACCATTCCAGGACACACACAGTTCACCCTGATCCCCTGCGGAGCGTGGTGAACGGCCATGGCCCTCGTCATATTGACCACGGCGCCTTTACTCGTCGGGTAGAACAAGTGCGGCGTTCCTCCCTTCAACCCGGCCACGCTGGCCATATTGATGATACTCCCGCGATATCCCCATTCGAGCTCATTCTTCAGCATCGCGGGCACGGCGTACTTGGCCATCATGACCATGCTGTCGACGTTGACTGCCATGCTCTTGGACCACGCCGACATGTCGACCTCGACCGCCGTGCCGGGCGCGCCGCCGATGCCCACGCAGTTGAGCAGGATGTCCAGCCGGCCGTATGTGCCGAGCGCGGCGGTCTGCACGATGCGCGCACAGTCGGACTCGACGCTGACGTCGGCTTGGACCGCGATCGCGCGGCCCTTGCCTTCGGCCTCGATCATTTCCACCGTGCGCTGGGCCAGCGATACGTCCCGGTCCACGCAGACCACGCTGCATCCTTCGTCGGCCATGAGGATGGCCGACGCCCGGCCGTTGCCGATCCCATCGCCCGCGGCGCCGGCGCCCGTGATGATGGCCACTTTGCCGGATAGGCTGCGTGGTGGTTTGGGGAAGTGGTACTCCATGCTATGTTGTCTTTTTCGTTTGGTTCGACCGCTGATAAGGTAGGTAGGACTTACGAATGCTTTGGTCAGACGTTTTGTCGTCGCCGAGTCGTGCGGATAGTAGTATTCTGTTGTGGACGTTTAGACTATTCTTCTACCTGGAAGACGGCTTGGTAAGTATATTCCCACAACGCTAGAAGGGTATTATTATGTCGACATAAGGTGGTCTCGGCCGGATGTGTTCTCTTTGTTCTCCTCACGGAAGTGGTTCTCGTCTCCAAAGGGGAGAACGACGAGACGAGTAATAGCCTCGGCTGTCAAAGAGAGGTATCTCTCTGTTCGGGTGGACCGGCGACGAAAGGTGAAAGGTTCAAGGTTGAGGAAATGACGACAGTGTAATCAAGCCGCTTGTAGTGAAGAGCATCAAAAGCCGTGGTCAGTGAAGGTCAGGTTTCCCAGTTTTTATACATGCATAAAAGTACCTAGCTAGGTACATATCATTCCAAAAATACAAATATGTGATCAATGAATGTATCGTCCATTGCCCCCCAAAACACCGCATTTCCTCCTTCAAACTCAACCCCCGTAGGTATATATATCGTTAAATATGACCATCCTTTTGTGCACACAGCCCTGTCAAGCAAGGCCATATATGGACAGCGACCCTCTCATCGGTATATGTAAACATGTGCCTCCTCACAGGCCCAAGGGGTTGCTTGCATTCTGCTCATTCCCTCCCAACCCCTTCTTCAAATTCTCATGTTCCGCCTCTTGTTGTTTGGCTGGGCCACCTCCTTCGTTACCAAAGCCGACACCAAACTGATCTCCAAATCCTTTGCCCATGCGCATGATGCCGCCGACTGTGGGATCAACGACGCCACCAATTGGTTGTGCAGCCTTCTCGAAGCCCTTGCCAGCGTACTTCCCAACAGGTGAAAGGGTGTCTTCGATCTTCCCTCCAATGTTGTTTCCCATCTCTTCTGGCTTTGAGATCCAGGAGCCTGGGCACCTCCATCAGCATCGTCTTCATAGGTGTCCTCGCAAACATCAGGGGTAAACGTACCTCCTTTCTTTTGGGTGCCCGTCTCCTGCCCACTATCCGGCTGGACATTCTCCTTCTCTTCGTTTGCAGACATGTTCGTTTCTGACTGTGGGTGACGACTGTTGTCCACTAGCGAGATGCGATGGGTGCTTTCTTCGCCAGACATACGAATCGAGAAGAATACAGAAAGATTTATAGGAAGATGAGGGTAAGCGGTTGCGCGCCGCAGGCCGCAGGAACAGCAACATCTACATCATAGCTCGTCCTCCGCATGGCAAGAGCAGGCGCCTAGCAGGGATCTTGCCCGGCCACACCTGGTGATAGGAGAGTTGGCTGACAAGCCTGGTTTGACCGATGACGTCGTTGGCCCAGGCGTTCTAATCGTCTTGTCGTATACAAAGTCGCGAAACTGCAAGATCTGCCGAGCTCGTGGCTCGTTGAAAAGCCAACAAAACATGCCAAGTAAAATCCCGTCCTCAAGCCGCCAGCTTCCCAGACATCCTGGCGAGCTGGTTACACAGGAGCATTTGTGTGACGTCCCACTCACCGGTCATGAGCATCGAATTTCCCAGCAGTGGCTGCGTGGAAAACCTAGGTACTGATTAGTGTGCTCATTGCTGCGGCGCCTTTCCGAAACATGAGGGCTGTGACGATCGCTTGTGCGACTGGCCCCTATCCTGAAACACTGGATTTGCCGCGCGCCTTCGCGAGGCCAGGCGCAAGGATGGCACAGCCTTGCTACATGGATCATGGTATATATCAATTGAAAAGGTAAGGACCCCTCAAGCTGGAATCTGAGGTTAGTATCGCGCCCGTCATGAGATAATGAATGAATTCTTTCGTCGCTTTCTTGAGCTTTGGAGGCACATTACCGGACAAATACGTTCTCGCGGTCTACTTGGAATCATCTCAAATCTGGAGTATGTAGCAGCTCGATGGAAAAACGAAAGCTTGAGTCTTTGCCATCGAACGACATTGGAAAAGCGAGAGCGCTACAGCTACACTCGTCTTGAAACTCCGCAAAGCATCCGTGTCGTCGAACTCCTTCCGGCTCGTCTGCTCGACAGCACCTTACGTTTCAACGTTCACCACACCAGCGTGCACGACCAGCGATTCGCCTACACTGCGGTATCGTATGCATGGGGAAAGCGTAAGCCGGGCCAGGACTTGCTTGTCGAGTGCGATGGCCGGCGCGCTTATATACCTCCAACCCTGCACTCTGCCCTCGTCAGGATAAGGGAGCAGAAAATTACCAGCCAATTCATCTGGGCAGATGCTCTGTGCATTGATCAGGCTGATGATGATGATGCTGCAGCCAAAGACGAGAAGTCAGCCCAAGTGAGTATGATGGACCAGATATTCGCCCATGCTCGGGAAGTGATCGTCGACCTCGGCGAGCTTCGCCACGAGGACCGCACAGTCCTTTCCATACTTGACCATTACGGCTCCATCTCCGAGAAAGTATGGACAAGCGTCAATGTCGCAGCTGGTACGGCATCCGTGGAAGATAGCATCCGCATTCTAGATGCTCTACAATTCCCTGCCGCACAATCTGCATTCTGGAAATCATTCCAACGGTTCATATGCCGCCCTTGGTTCACCAGAGTCTGGATTATTCAGGAGTTTGCGCTGGCCTGCTCTCCGCAATTCATGATAGGACGTCAATTTCGCGACGCTGAGTTTCTGCCCAATGCCGTAGCTCGCGCAGCACAGCATTTGGGAATCCTGTACATCCAGGACAGTTTCTATGGCTCAAGACCCAATCGCAATACTGCCATTGCCGATGCATACTTCTATGTCTTGGAGAAGCACCAAGCAGTATTCCGGATCCACAGCGCCAGAACCCGTCTGGGTTACCAAAGGTCTCTTTGCGAGTTACTCGATGGCACAACACTGTATTTCGAAGCCACCGATCCTCGCGATCGCGTGTATGCACTCCTGGGCCTGTCTGACGACGAGAACATCAAGCAGGACCTGTATGTCGATTACAAAGAGGCCGAGAATGACTTTGCGATTCGTGTGAGCTTGTACCTCAGTCGGCGACAGTTTGGTATATATCCGTTGTACCACTGCGTCGGCGACGTGGAGGGATACGTTTCGTGGGCAATGAACCTCACCAATACCCGAGAAGGACTTGCCAATTTGATCGGGCCTTCGGGCTACACGAAACGAGACATGTACAGTGCTTGCGGTCCGGCACGATTTGTCCGCAAGATGTCCGAGCTCCGAGTGCATGGACTCACAGTGCGTGGCTGGATCCTCGACACCATCACGCTGTGCATGGAAAGGAGTATGCCTCATGATGCGCAGCTGAAAACTCCGCGAGATCTGGAGAAGCATGCTGTGTGGCAGGGCCTTGCTCTGGACTGGATGCTTTCGGTCTCACCCACGCAACCTCAGCCGGAGGATGAGTTCGTCAAGACGTGCTGGCGGACAGTCATTGCGGATCTGGTTGAGCCCAGCGGCGGTGAAGGCCATGGTTATCGTCGTCTACGTGACTGGTCAAGCTCAGATCGCTGCATCAACACCGTGGACAGGATCATGCGTGTCGCGTACAAGAAATGGAAAGGCGACTTGCCCGAGTCATATACACTGGACTTGACCGGCACCGAGCTCAACGACCTGCGCATCTACGCCGAAAGCTTCTCAAATACGCTTGGACGCAAATTGGCTCTGAGCAAGGAGATGAGGACGCCTTGCGTGGTGCCCTACGACGCCTGCGAGGGGGATAACATCGTCATCATCCAGGGATGTCAGATCCCTTTCGTCCTGCGCCGAAGGAATGACGGTGATGGGAAGGGCGAGTACTTCCGCATCGTGGGCTGTGCGTACGTGCATGGTATCATGGATGGTGAGACTGTGGGCGATGGGTCGGATGTGAGAGATATCGAGATTTGGTAGCGCCACCTTTGGACCTATTATCATTTGTCTATGGAAATGGTGCATCGATTTTGTGAAAAAGGAGAGCCCCAGGGAATCTAATCTGCAGTCTTCGGTGTTTGAAGGTGGAGGCGCCGGCCTCTTTCCACGGACAGACACATGTTGAATAGAAGCAGTGTACAGAAAGGTTTTCAGTAGCCGACGGTGGTGCATAGTAGAAGAAAGAGAGTCTCGCGCCATGGAGAGAGCGAATAAGAGTAGCTAGATAGCAAGCCCTGCTCGCATGGAAGCTACCAAAGCTCGACGATCCCAGCCTCGCAGCCTCATCGGGGCATAATGAGGTTGTGGCAAAAGGGGGCCCGCACTTCGTCCGTCTCTCCGGTTAAAAGGTCATATCAAGAGTCATCGACCGAGCAATCTGTAGAGATTTGGTGATCCTCCAACATTCGTCGATCATGCTTACCAGTCCGTGTGGTTGGTCTCACCCGCTGACCCTGTCCTCAAGGGAGCTGCGTCGGTTTTGGATTTGTCAATTCGTCGATCCCACCACGGCTCTGAGATTGGGCCTCATAACCAACTAGTCCGACTGAGATGACCAGTCAGTGAACAAAACACAAGCTCGAGTCGACCAATCCGTTTGTCAGTCCCAGGTTAACCTGGTTGCAATCATCTTCCTCCTAGAAAAGGGCGCAAAGATGTCCTATTGCCCGTGGCATGGTCTTGAAATGCTGTGTATTGAATTACACTGATCTGTTGGCCCGATAGACAAGGAGATAGCAAACCGTACCACCCTGGACCGGAGAGCTATTTCCGTGAGGCCATAGTGAGCGTGACATCCACACTTCAGGCAGCAACGCCAGCAACGCTCACCAGTTCATGCTGTACTACATCGTTAATATATACTGTGAAATCAGTCGCCGCCTCACCTTAACGGTAGGGGTAGCTAGACTCCACATGATTCCGTGGCAAGCCGCACATGAAAGTCGAGCCGAGCGGCCAATGGCTTCACCTGCAGCAGGCCATGTGCGCGGCCACGTCTACCTCTGGGGGGTCAAGAACACATTTTTGCCGGCAGGTCAGAATGCGCAAAGAACTTGGTCTTGCTCTTGTCCTACATAAAGGTGGGCCAAGCTTGTGGTATGCTTCCAGAAAGAGGCGACTGCACACCGAGTCATGGTATGGTGTATGCTGTTGTTGGGCGGAAGACGATTCAGGCCAGGACTCACTGGAGAGACGTTATCACATCTTGTGGTTGCAGCGTCGACTCGGACTTTTTACTCGCCGAAGTGAGACTGTTGCGACGTTAATCGTGTACACAGTATTGCCGATAGGACAACAATGGCACACTGAACCAACAGCGGATATGTCGCACGGAATCCCACTGGAATTAATGCCATGGGCCAGATGTAGTCTCTTTCATTGGATTCCTAGGCAGACACCTAGGCAAGAAAGCAAGGTGAGGATAAGCCTGTTGTTGAACCCATGGAAGAATTTGATATCGACGACGACCCCTTGACAATTTAGCCATATTGCCTATTTCGAAGCGGCATGCATGGACTGGAATTCTTGGGCACCAACGTCCAATCATTCACATAGTCGGGGATGTTCGCAAAGTCATGAACTTCTGTAAACAGCCGATTGGTCGCTCGTGTGCGCTCGTGACCATTGTACGCTTACGATGAAGGTGCGATGTTATCGAACAGCTGCCACAACACCCCCAACGCTGCTGTTGGTCGATTAATTGGTTCGCTTAAAGGTCTGGCGGAATGTGCTGAACGCGTTAGCTGGTATAGATGCTGCGGTGCTTCAGAAAGTTTGAAGAGGATATTCCAAGGGGCAAAACATGAACAAGAGCAGAGGCTTGATCGAAGGATGGTGATCCTTGTAGGAGAGTGGAGGGCAGCTTTGAGTTTCAGCGAACGTCCCAGAACCGATGGCAACCTAATTATTGTGAACGCCAGATGTGGTGTCTTAGATCAGCCCCCCTCCCCCATAATTCAGCCCGGATCCTTTTCCGAGAATGTCGTGAGGCAAAGAACCTTGAACCAGGAGGTTGGTGCAACAGCACAGCAGGTCTTAGAGCTAAAAAGACCCCAAGTAGTAAGACCTCACCTACTGACGTTGCGGGGCAGGAGAAGAGGGTTTTTCTTTGCCAAAAGTTTGTCCATGACTACTGTAACCTGTAATCCATCAAGCGGAGAAAAACGGCTGTCTCGGCAGGTAGAACTTTCCCGGCTGTGCAGTTGCTGCGAAACTGGAGGACGAGGCCTCAAGGTGTCTCACCCACAGAGGAGCCGAATAAAGAGAGGTGCAGCTTGAAACTCGAGCTTCGTCGTGATCGCTCATAGTACCGATGATCGATCATTTTATTGTCTGTGACGTGCACAGACAAAGTGGGCACAGATACTTGGGTGCTGCGTACAGTGGCCTTTGCGGGAGAATACTTACGCCCAGCACCTAAGTGCCCACTGCCCAGCCCTCTCAACATCGGCGCACTCCTTCTGCATGTCGTCACAAGGACGGCGAATGAGAGACTGCTGCGGAATGGCGTGGAAATAATGGGCCTTGCCACAAGGCGATCAGAGTTAGCGCTCGGACGAGATAGCCGCCCTGCCATCCGGGGTTGAAAAGAGGGGGCATACGAGTATCACCGTAAGCCAACGGTCAGCCCAGCGTGCCTACCAAGTACGGAGTAACAGAGTCGTCGAACTCTCCAACAGTCCAGTGGCCCAAGCTCTCTGCTATGACCGGCCGCTATGACGATTTGTTGGAAGGATACTTGCTTGACGTGGAGTGCGTGGTTGAGCTTTCGGGTGGCACTTTTCAGATGCGTTGATCTCGACTGGCTGCGATGACCTGCCTCGAAAGTACACCAGCGATACCTCTGGACTGAATTCAAGTAGTATGTGTCGGAGTGAGAGACCCAGGAAAAGTGATTTTTGCAGAGTAGATTCGAAAGATCTAGACCAAGGCGTCTGACTGCAAGAGCCGTCCTGGAAAGGTGTGGACTTGAAGATGCATGCATTAGACGAGAGAAATGCCCCAGGCAGCAGCTTTTCCCGACTCAAGACACGCACTAGGCTCGCTTATTGTTGATCGTGGGTTCGTGCATGAACCATCAGTGGATGAGGCTCACTAACGTAGGTTGACTATCACTTTACTTCCGGATCACCGTGCCAGTCAGAGTACGTACCCACCAAGAAGAAGAGCAGAAATTGTTGGTATAAGCTCAGCTTATTTCGACGCTAAGGGTTCGAGCAGAGCATGATATTCGTATGCAGCCAAGGTGGTCAGGCTTTGCACGCTTTGTTCCTGAATATTACGAAGTCTCCAAGGGAGTCGGGATCACCAGGATGTACATACTCCGTTCTCCGTAGTACTGTGTACACGCGGTACTCACCATCATCCGATCATTTCCCTGCTTAAGCGTTGGCCCCATCACAGTTCGTATCGTAACTGCCAAAAACAAAATCGCTCAAATTCATCCATGTGCGAGTACACACGATGTACGCGTACACTGAGGTCTGGAATCTTCTGTTACACGACATACTGAATCCGGCCCCTGCCCCAAAAAAGCTACCAACAATGTAATCCACGTGTAGTACAGCATGACCACGCTCCAACGCTTCAACACCAAAGGAGATGTATCTCCTCCTGTTAAGAAAAAAGTAAAATCTGCGTGCTGCATGATCGTCTCTGCGCGCTCCTGTTGATCGATAACCTTATGCAGCTCGTTATCTGGATGGATGAAATATCATTAGATTCATTAAAACCCCTGCCCAAGCATATCCGTCATGTGTCGCGTTATTGGGTGCTTCGCACTATCATGGAGTACGTTCCTGGGCACAACGATAAAGTCGTTGTGTCACAAAAGTCGAACATGTGAAGCCTCGTCTTGGGTTTTGATACGTCAGACCACCAGTGATCCTATATCATATCTCCCCCAATGCTTTGGAGATCCCAAGTCCAAGCCGTTCCGAGTCGACGACTTCTCTTCCGGCTGGAACCGCTGCCCCGCTTAAATCCTCGGCCTCATCTGAGCATTCGCTGCTGGGAGTTGTGGTCTGAGATTGATATTCGAGAATGGTTGACTCAAAGTCGGGAAGCTCCGTTTCCTTGGCTGCATGGGTCCAGAACGCCTCGGCCGTTTGAAGCTGAGAAAACCATTCGGCTACCGTCATCTCTTTGCCGCGGAATGTCAGCAAAAGATCTCCGTATTGCTGTAACCCCGCTCGCGATGCTTTGTGCTTCCAGTCAGGGTGAGCATCCTCGAGCAAATATCGACGTTCTGCAGCAAGATGGTTGACATAGTTGAAAAATGCACCTTCAGAGTCTGGCCTCGGTTAGCGGGTTGCATGAACACCTGCTCATCTGGCACGCTTACAGCTGACGGTGCCTGTTTTCCTTCCAAAGGGCAACTCCACGAGGCGGTCGAAGCGCTCGTCTAGTAGCTCTTGTAGTCTGATGTAAGAAGCGTATACAATGGAGGTCGATTCCTGCAAGGTCCACAGTTGTTCCTGCACAGCCTCTGGGAGTTGTAAGAGCATAGAGGAGGGCAAAGCAGCCACATGGGAAACATGACTGGGGTCGTGAGAGTGTGGTGGTGCTAGGAATAGGGCGTCTGGAGAGCTGGTCCTTCTCAAAGGTGCACGTCGTGATGGTGAAGACATGGTCGAAGAAGTGTACATTTTGCGTGCGTATAGACTGTTGAAGGAACAGCTTTTGATTTGAATATTTAAACAAGGGCGAATTGAAGGTATAAATACAACGGAAAAGACCAAGAGTATGTGGGACAGGAGGTTTGAGAAGGTAAAGGTAGACCTGCAGAGATGAAGCACAGACAGTCACATCAGTTGGGGGAAGAGGATGGTTATATCGAGGGAATCGAGAGGGTCTGATGGAGGGCATTCCCCAAGTATTTCTGATTGGCCCGGGAAGAGACACGGTTAAAAAGTGGTTCTCCTGTGTGGAAACTGGATGGGATCACGCCAAAATCATGTATTGGCTGGAGACCGTGTGCGGTTTCGTGACGTATGAGTACGATACACATGTGGTTGGTGGTTGGTGCTTGGGGTGGGAGCCTCATGGCCACCTGGGCAGTCTTTCATGATCAGCCCACTGCTCGAATCACAATTCCTGGAACGACTCTCCGTGTCATGCCTCACCAGGTCCACCCTAAGCATTTGATGGAGAATGCCGCACAACTAACATTAGCACTCATTAGGTGATTAGTTCTCAAGTAGCTCGTGAAAGGGGGAAAGTCATCGGGAAATCATCCGATCTGCTGCGTTTTCAACCAGGAGCAGTGACGCCAGCTGTTTGGATTTGGGGTCCTTTTTCTTGCGGACGAGGTGGCCGATGCAATTGTACAAACTCGATCCCATCCACTTGACGTAAGGCTATACTTCCATCACTGTTGCCACGGCGAGAGATATAGCGAGAGCGAGAACTGCCGCATCAAAATGATGAACAAATCGCGGACATCCATTCCGAGCATGTGAGAGACACTAGGCCAGGCACCAACACCGGTGGTCATAGTGCCGTCTTTGCCAGGACTCCCCCGATTCACTGAATTCTTCGATCCTGTCAGATGCTAGCCATAACGGCAGAGTGCAGGCGTTGGCTTACCGTTGGATCAGATGTACCCCGGACGCCGTCTCGACGATGCCGCTCATTTCTCCCGGTTGCAGAGCAAAGGCAGCGTCTTCAAATTCCTTCTGCATCTGGCCTTTTCCGAAGAACCCTAGATCTCCTCGCTTCCGCGCACTGCTGCAGTCCGACTCGGACACGGCAAGATCACCGAGAGACTTCTGACCAGAGCGGATTTGATCCTCGTATCCCTTCAACATCTCGATGGCTTCCTCTTTGGATCGTGTGATGTTGGTCTCCCGCCAGGATGAAGGTCGACGGCTGTCTTTGTGCTTGACCAGCAGATGTGCAGCCCGGATTTTACCCTCAGCTGCAGCACCATCGATGCGGGTGTTGGCAGAGCTGTGATGTTGAGCCATGTAGCCCTTGAGAATTTCGGTGTCGGCGCCCTCAGGAGGTTCCCATCTTGACTCGTGAGTCTTCTGATTGAAGTAGTAGGGGAGGTTCTTGGAGTTGGAATGGCGGACCTCCCAGTCTGGGGGCAAGCCAGTGTCAGTCTATGGTCCGCATTGTCAGTCTCAATCGTTAAAATGGTGGGAGTGAGTTACCATTGCTGTAAAGTGTGGATCTCAAGTTCAGTGTGAATGTTCAGTCGGGATGTTGTCCTTTGGATGTGTCCGTGTAGAAACAATGCCAATCGTTGAGGATGCAGGATGCGGTGCCTGAAAAGGCCACAAAAGGCGCAACCAGGTGGGGCCGTGAGTTTGTTTATTGTCAGCAGATCGTTGACCACGAGGTAAGGCTGAACGTGATGCGGTGTGATGGCGGTAGAGGACCGAAGCAGCGAATGAACAATTGATTCCAAGACTATCACTTTGTGGTGCTCGTCGATACCCAATCCCAAGTGCAAATGCTAGGTTGGTGAGTGGTCACATTGACCTTGGTAGGTACGGTACGAGACTCGGGGGGTGGTGGTGAAGAGGTTATAAGTAATCCGGGGCTGGCCAGGCACAAAATCCCAAGGCGGCGTCGCACCTCAGGCACTTGAACTCGCCTAATTAGTTAGACTGCTAGCCCGGGACTGCGGGGCGAAAATTCACCGTGGACGGCGCAAGCATCGATTCATCCTGCAGGTCCTCATCCGATCTTCACTCTAAACATAATATTTTATTCCAGCGGTCAACTCTGTCAACACACTGTCCAGACATTCAACAAGTTGACTCTAATATCGACACTTATCAACTCCACGCATTCGCCCCCTTGACACCCAACAAAGCTATCCTCTTCACCTGGTACCAGCACACTCAGAACAGGCTTCGGAACAAGACCATCTTAGAAATCCTGCCTCGCCTCACAACTTGAACATTGTTCAACACCTCAAGCACATTTCTCTGCGGCCAAAACTATGTCTGCCGCAGCTTCCCCTGCGCCCAGTGACGGCGAAACTAAGCGCGGCGAAGTCTCGTACAGATTTTGTCAAGAATGGTCAGTCATCCGCGCCCCTTGGCCTAGGTATGTTCGTGTCACTAACAGATGTCTCGCGCAGTTCCAATCTCCTCTACCCCAAGGAAGACAGAAACACGTCGACGCTACTGTACATCTGCAAGGCTTGCCATGCCACAACTACTCACGACTCGGCATGCACATACCGACAACAACTGGGTGCTACTGTGCAAGAAACAGCTGGAGTGACTACAGATGTTGCAAATGATCCTACTGTGGGTTCTGCTCCTTCCGAGTTGCTACTCCCGTGCTTGTGTACTCTCTGCGGAGAGCAGCTCAGATGCAAGGAATGTGGTAGCGAAGTCATGGAGGACTCGGATAGCTCTGAGATTTCGATGTCTTCACTGAGTCCTTCGTCACTTTGAGCCTATCATGTCATCTCAAGACCCAGGCTGACAGGTGGCTCCATGTTTAGCTTCCCAGGACCAGCCAGAGGTGTCCAAAGTGTCGGGAAACGGATGCGGTATATTTTCAGTCCCAACAGCGAGGGGCTGAAACAGGAATGGTAAGTCAATGTTGGGGGACAAGAAGATGAAAAACTGATTGCTGTGTCAGAAACTTTACTATGTGTGCACTGCTTGCAATCATGTCTACACAGTCGTTTGAGCATGGCGTTGATGGAGTCCGAAGCTACTATCAAAGTATGCATTACCTGGCGCTTGCATCGAAGGCTCCAGGACGAACTTATGAGGAATACCCGGCGTGGAGCATATCGAGTGCACAGGAGTTCAGGAGAAACAACTGTCGATGGCAGAGTCGATAGGTTTGATACGCAAATGATTTGTCATGTTCATACAATTTTTTTCGTCACTATACAGGGTATCTTGACAGCTCTTCGATTGATCTTTGTACATGCGATAATCCAACCTGTGTCCCTCGTCCTTATATGTGCATTGGGGCCAGTGACAGGATCTTTGACCACTTCTTGTCTCGCAATTCCGCTCCCACCATGCTCGATAATCGTGTGCCGATGGGATCTCCATTTCTGTTGATGAGGACGCAGGCATTGTCGTCAAATCTAATCAAGCTGCCATCTTTTCTCAGTCCCTCCTTTCTGGCTCGGACTACCACCGCATGCCGTATATCACCTCGTCGCACTTTGTTGGCAATACCGACACTCGATCCGCCGGGTGTTTCGGGGCCGAAGGATCTCTGCTTTTGAACGACGACAATGATCCGGTCGCCTGTAGAAGAACAAGTGTCAGTAGGTGTAAGGCGCGATTATTGCCGCTCACAGCCTACCTATTCTCGCATGTTGGGTCTTTTTTCTCATGACCGCAACGCATTCTACGATGGCTGCTCCGGAATTGTCGATGCAATTGAGGAGCGTCTGAAGCTGTCAGAAAAGCCCATCCGTTAAACTTGTGCGGGTACTCGCCTTTAATTGTATCATCGTGGCAGCATAGTCGTGAATCAATAGGGCACGCAGGAAGGATGCTCGTTCGTAGGAGCACAGCGGTAGAAAATGAAATGCCTGCGATGGCGTGCATAAAAGTGTCGAGTGGACTGCAAGCGATTGGCCGAATTCGACACCTCCCATTAATTGACTTCGTTACTAGTGACAACACCGAGCCGCTGCCATTTATGCCATTCAGCCCGTCTCGCGCTGTCTCGCTCTGTCTCGCTCACCCACTTTCAATTCTCCCTTTTCTTGCCCTTCTTCCTCTGAAAAACGAGGGAAGAACCCTGAGTCTTTCCTTCAGTCGAGTTGACGACATACCCCTTCAAAGACTCGACCTCCGCGACCACCATGTCGCATTCCATTCACTACACCCCTGCTCCTACCTCCCTCAGGCTGGCCTGAACCCAGACCGCGTTCTGGTTGCGGCCCTCGATCAGCCACTTCGCTCATTATTGACATCTTTCCACCCGCCCCCAGTCTTAGCCCGCAAGACCGCGCACTCGGCTTACCCTTGCTTCAAATTCATCATATCCTATTCATGGTTCACACAAAAGTCGATTAATCACTGTATTGGCGCTTCGCGACGCGAATAACGCACGCGACCATGGGTCGATGTCGACCCCAAGAGTCTGAGAAGACTCAAAGGCTGTCTCTGGCTGAATTGGCGGCTCACGACGACGTCTGCTCAGACGCATTAATAGATAATGTGAGACAAGAGCCGGAACACAGAATGATAAACAATTGACACTCATAGGCATACTACAAGGCGAGGATACGGAAGAACCGGACGAAGCACTTTCCCATCCGTGGAATCAAGGAAGACGAAGTCCCTCGAATTTTGCTGCACAAAGTCATTGTGGATAAGGATCTTGTGGCTGCTGAAAAGGCGTTCCTGGCTCTTCCTGGACTTAGGAGGTACAGGAAGAGTCTGCGCACAAAGTCCGAACAAGACCATTTCCTTTCCCACCTTCGAAAGTACATTGCTATGTACCAGACCGACTGTCCTTGGGAAGTATCAACCACCAATCGCTACACTATCACCACCTATGAGGCGGCTGTGACAGCCCGACGACGAATTAGACAGGGCGATGTTGTCAAATATCTTACCGGCACCCTTGTGCCTCTCACGGCCGAGGAGTCCACTGACTTGGACATGACTAATCGTAATTTTAGCATTGTTGTTTCTGCGCGCAAGAAGAATTCATCCATCTTCTTAGGTCCCGCTCGTTTTGCCAATCATGATTGTGATGCAAACGGACGTCTTGTGACAAGAGGTGAAGACGGCATGGAGGTTGTGGCTGTGAAGAACATCGACGTTGGAGACGAGATCACTGTATCATATGGCGATGACTACTTCGGTCCTGGCAATATTGATTGTCTCTGCCACACTTGCGAAGCACTGGAGCGTAATGGATGGACTTCAAAGACGGCAATTCTGGGATCTGACAGCCATGCTTCGACTCCAGCCCCAGAATCTCTGGCAACGCCTCAGGCTCGAGGTCTCAAACGAAAACGAGATTCAGACTTGTTCTCGCAATCCTCTTCTGCGCCGCCCCCCTCAAAACACCTGAAACCTACACAATCACCTTCGAAATTGCAACACTCTTGGACGCCTCCAGGAAGTGCATTATCCGATTCGGGCCTGGAAAGCGATGCTGCGAAGACCCAAGATGCTGTTGAGAGCCGGGCGATATCAATACCAGGAGAGGAGCCAACACTTTCACCACCTCACAGCCCCTCGAGACCACAAGAGCGAGAACTCGTTGAATCGACCAGCACTGTCCTGGTATTTGATCCACCGGATCCGGAATCACAGAAACCCGTTCGACCCTGCACTTCTCCGACGAATGCAAAAGCTCGAAAGGGGCCGCGCGAAAGCAAGATGACCGCAAGACTGCTGGGGAAACTTTCTGCACGTGCACCCATATCGCCCGCACCTACCTCACCCTCAAGCCATGGATCAGCGTCCGATCCAGCTCCGTCGACTCACCCGATTCCTCCTCCTTCAGTTGCGGATACTGCTGTTTCGATAAAGGTCGAATCGGTGGAAACAACAAAAGTCGAAGCCGATGAGGATACTATCGTTGTGGCTTCAGCCTGTCAAAGCTCTCTCAGGCCTCGCGAGAACCCGCCTGCTGTGGATGAACGGAAGACTGATGGAGCTGCTTTGCCCATCCCTAATGAGGTGCCGATGCCGCACGTTGTGTCGACCATGACCACCACGACAGTCACGAAGGACGTCCACTTACCCGAAGAACCAAGCGGCCAAGGAGGCGAAACAACTGTGTTGCCTTCAATAGAACCGGGTAACAACTCGACAACCGTGACCACATTGACAGTCCACCCTGTGACGGGCACCATCCGCATCGCGGGCGATTACATTCTGACCCGAAAATTACTAGCACAGCCCCATGATCGATGGGTGCAGTGTCACAATCTGAAATGCGGGGGCTTCTTTATCCAGCCCAATGGCTATCAGACTCGACGCGAGTGTCCGCGCTGCGAACGACACAGCATGCTCTATGGATTTCCATGGCCCAAGACAGACCCTGATCCCCGCAGGCTTCTCGAGCGCTCTGGCCGCAACAAGAGAGATGCAGCCGAGTACAGCGCGTACAGGCGTAAAGGACGCTGCGGAAAGGGCACTTGGGTTGAAGGCGGAGGCGACGAGGAAGAACGCGTTATGGATCACCGGACCATTCATCGGTTCGTCCTGCCCGAGGAGGAGCGGGAAATTACAAGAAAGGGATTACTGAAGGAGGCCGAGCTGGCCCGAGCCGCGGGTGATCATGCCCTGGCGTTGCTGGAGGCCAAGATGCGTGCTGGTTCGGGAAGGACTGAAAGTGCAGTCGCACGTGGGGAGAGCGAAAGTGGATATGGAGGGTCTACGACGCCGGACGAGGCGCGACGACGAAGTAATCGCTTTGTGACAAGGCCTGTGGCTGTGTATTCCGAGAGGTATCAACACTGATTCTTGTGGAAGCGGGAGTTTTGTGGCCATTGTACTGGCATAGTGGACTGAAGATTGAAGATGAAAGGCGCGAGAGCTGCGGAGTACTCTATTGTCTGTTGATGTCCCTCCAGTGGTGCAGGCTGAATCATGGACTGAGAAAAGGTATGACATCCGGTGGCCTGTTTCGACAGGACGCCGGTAATAGTACACGCCATTGATGTGAGGGTGTGCATACTTGCTCTGCTTGCGTTGGAGATAAGAAGCACAGACAAAATACTATGGGATGTTGCAGTCTCCAATCCGAGGACATTCTCATGGAGGTGACCCTCAGCCTGATAATGTCCTTTTGTTGTACTGCCTCGCCTGAGACATCTAAATGCCGAGGTTCTCCAGACTGTGCCTGTTGGTGTGAGAACGGCCATTGCCATCGAGTCAGTGTATTCCCGAAGGTCCTGAAATAGGTGGAAAGAACATGGCCAGGCGATGTGACTTGGGACATATTCCGTACAGTCCATGTCAATGTATGTCGGGAGCAGCCAATCAGAAAGCAGCGATATCCAAGTCTTATCAGCTTGGCTAAGCGAATCGAGTCTCGCCCTCTTCGCTTTGGTCTTCTTCAACTGCGCGGAGAAACAGACTTGACATCACTCTTCTATCTGAAAGTCCTACAACGATGCTCGTAGCTCGTAAAACTGCGATCAATCGTTATCAATGATTGGCCAAACCGCAGTCGATCTCAGTCGGCTACAGGCCTTTGCTAGAGCCGCGCAGAAAGGCTGCAGCTCCCCGTTATGCCTTGAGAATCCTTCCATGGAGAAACCTCACAATTCTGTCTTCAGTTCCAGACTCTGCTAACTTCAGCTTGTTCGGGATATAGAGCTCATCGGCACTTCTTATAAAGCTCCTGTCTTTTTTGTGCTTCTGAGCTGCACGATGCCTGACCCAATGACGATACAGGACGAGTCCGACCACTTCTCCCCCTACAGGGCGGATGGCAAGCTCTACGGATTTGTGTGCGTGGTCACGGGCGCAAATATGCCAGTGGGGTCAGCGATCGTGACCGAGTTAGCAGGTAGGGCCAATATGGACATGTTGGAACATTGCGAGAGTCTGATTATTGAACAGCACACGGCGCAGCGTGCATCTACGCCTGCACGACAACAGATCAACCCTCTGGGCTGCAGAGCTCCCTCCTCAAACTCTACCCAAACACGAAGATCATCGACTATCCCTACTCAATCTCCTCGGAACAAGATACTCTGACTTTGATTGATGAGGCGCTCAATGCATGGGGAAGACTTGACGTCTGGGTTTGCTCATCGGGCCTGCTGGGTCCTCCTTCAATCGATCTTACCACTCCCGCCGACCTCCAAAAGTGCTTCGAAGCCAACAGCCTTGCTCCCTTTTTTGCCCTGAAGTACGCCCCGCACGCAATGCAAAAGACCTCTCCGAAAGGGACTTACCCGAACGCCGCACCCAAAGATCAGTGCTATGGCAGTATCATTGTGGTCACAAGCACAGCAAGTACATATGGTGGTTGTTGGGGACCGTGCTACACAATGAGCTCTCATGCCGCGTTGGGTGTGGTACGCGCCGGTGTTGCAGTGCTCAAGGGGACAGGGGTGCGTGTCAATGCCATTAGTCCCGGACAAATTGACGTCGGGGTCAGTCTGGATGGCTTCGATACCAAAGGCATGATCAACACTACACAGCTCCCGCCTGCAGCCTTACAGAGTCCTTCTGCCCAGAAACAGAACATCGGGTTGGAGAGAGCAGGACGACCAGCTGAGGTTGCGAGAGTTGCAGGTTTTCTGGCATCTGGGTTCAGTAGCTACATTACAGGCGCTAACATGGTAGTCGACGGCGGGGCGAGCGTCATGTGCCCATTGATGGTGCCAATATAGGAGGGAAAGCAAAGGTGAAGTAGTAAGTTTGAGGATTGCACTTGTCTACTTCCTTGTCTTGCAGTTCATTGGGGTTGACTTGAAAGAGGGGTCGAAGCATTCTTTGATCGTGTTTATTGATGTTGTTTGAACAAACGGAAAATTGACAGATGTTTGTTTCTATGAGTACCTAGGTAGTTGTATCTGGACATCTGTCAGGTTAAGAGGTGTTCCCTCTCAATCATCAATTCAATCGATACAATGCTTCTACATATTCTTATTCCCAGTGGTTGGAAGTATAGTCTATATATCGTTGCCGCCTCACAGTGAAGCTTGACAGGTTCGAGACAGAAAAGCCCACCAGATACCGACTTACCGCCCTTCTATATCGATATAAACGGCTTATCGCCTTTCTTGTATATGCGGTTCCTTCGTTGTTTGTTGTCTTGGTTGGGCCCATATCCGGTGCAACTCTATTTGCTCTGTTCGCATACCACACACAACAGTGTCTTCCATCCGACGAGCAGGGATAGAGAGATCCGGACTGATGAGTGAAGAGCATATACTGCCCGTCGAGCCAAGATCGAGCAGATCGCCAACAGCCCAGAAACAGTTCTTCAGCCAAGGATTGCCAGATGTCTCGGCGACGCCTGACGCGACGACAGCTTCAACCCACGTTCCTCAAAACTTCCTCCTACCGAAACTCCGTGGGGCCCTGTGGGTGAATTCGCAGGAAGCAAACGCTGCAGAGACAAATGTCATTGAGTGGCAGACAGAATCAGAACTTTTCGAAGCTGCACATTGAACATGAGGCCACTCTGCCACATCAGCTGTCCTCGGTGCTGTTTGCCGTCGAATCGCACCCTAGCGCCATATTACACGATCTACCCGTGAGATTGTGGTGTGTATCTCCATTTGTAGGGAATGACTATCTAACAGTACCGTCATGTAGTGAGTGTTGGTCCTGCTAGCGAAAAAGATTCCCTGGAAACTTCTTCTATGCACCGTATGATGATCAAAGAGCTATGGAGATAAAGCGTTTGATGATAAGGACTGGTGCCTTGTGATGGAGAGGGATGGATGAGGCAGGTTTCTAGACAGGCGGATGATAGCAGTTCTCTTACTGTGGCATGATTTCTTGGTCTGTTGCTGCCAGTAGCATCGTTGATTGATGTTCGTGAAATGAAGCCAAGTGAAATGATTCATGTTGGTTGAAAATTATGGGCGGAAAATTAAACCATCGGCCGAGTTTCCCTTTCTGATCTACGCGCAGATGCTCTGTGGATGATCCTGAACTTTTTGGACCTCGAGCATTGAAGGAGACTGCAAAGCATCCTGCGCATCACTCGCTTGACCAGAACACGTTATTGACAATGTCTCCTCGCTCCAGAGGCGCAAACCGCATTGCCGATGCTTTGGGTAAAGCTCATCCTCCCAATTTCGCTAGAACCGTGCTCACACGATCAGGATTTTCCACCAGCAACAATCACGTCTGCCGCTCTTGTCGACAAGCTCTTTCTCAACGAAGACATGCATCGACTGCCACAGCCAAAGCTACAGTCGAAGCACCTCCCATTACACAGCTATCGCCCGACGGCCCTGAAGCCTCTTCTGCTCCTCAACCTATATACACTGTAAAAGCCGGCGTCGTCGTATCCCGGCCACCACTCATCACAGCCGATCCTCACCCGTTCGAGACGGCATACTATCTCTATCAAAGACGGCTGAACGAACGATTGGTCCTGCCGTTTACCCAGTATTTCTATTACAAGCGTGGCACGCCGGCCTTTGAACACTGGCGAGCGCACCGTCAGCGGCGAGGTGGTGCTGCGACACGAGATATTGGAAAATACAACGCATACACTCCGGAGTCGTGGAACGACGAAGCGCTCGTGGGCGATGACTCCGGCTTGCAAACAAAGATTGTCCAAGATCTCATCGAGGAAGAAGGACGGGCAGAGGAATTTACCGGCGCTGGAGATCCGAAATTTGCAGGATTAAAAAGGAGAACGGCGGCGGACGACGAGAATAACCAACAGAGTCTTGAGCGAAGCTTACAACGGACGCTGTATCTGCTTGTCAAGAACAAGAAAGTCAAAGGTCAGAGTGAGAGTGAGCGATGGAAGTTCCCTAGCGGCACGATCGTGGGCTTTGAGGGTTTAAAAGAGGTAAGTCTGGATAACCACGATCCCTATCATTGGATTACAGTACTGATTCCAGGGAAAACAGGCTGCACAACGCATCCTTTTCAGCTCCCTGGGTCCCAACATGAACACCTTCTTCATTGGGAACCACCCCGTAGGCCACTACGTCTATAAGTTTGCATCCCCACAGCCTCGACCAACACCTCCGCCGGCTGCAACGACGCAGAAATCCAAAGCATCCGAGCAAGCACCTCTGAAACAACAATTGGCGCAAGAAGGGGACATGATTGATGGGGAGAAGACTTTCTACATGAAAGCGCGCATCATGGCAGGCCAGGCTGATCTGTCCGTCGCCAAGCAGAATGGCGTCGAGATCGAAGATTACAAGTGGTTGAGCAAAGACGAGGTCGAGAAACATGTTCACCCGGAGTATTGGTCCAAGATTCGGAATATGCTGGTTGCGCAGTGACCGGGCGTCACATGTCACTTGTGTATGTCATGCAAGTGCAAGCAACCGGATGGGGAGGCATACCTAGGTACCTTATCTAAGTAAGTGCTGGCTGAGATACTAGGCATGTAGATGGGAAGATTCTTGTACAATACAATACAAAGGGCTGGACTTGAAATTGTCATCGGGGCAACACTTGCATTATGCGATCACCAGATCTTCGCCCTCGAGATTTCCGAGTCTTGTTCGGTTGTCCCTGGTTTATTTTATGTCGAGATAAGTAGGGCTGGTGGGTTCTGCGACAAGGGCTTCGAGTCATCTCCTGTCTGCGGCGCACTGGTACTGGTTTTCGAAGTACATCGGTCTCACGCCAGGTTGAGACGATGTCTACCTTACCTACCTAGCTACGATCCGGTGTACAATTCGTTCTCGTCCGTTCATTTCAGGCTTGGCCTTCACGATCTCAGGAGATGATAGCACTGTTCATACCGTTCAAACTTACCTCGGTAATCATAAGCACCTAGATAGGGTACGGAGTACTATCAATATGATATATCTTTTTTGGTACAGATTAAACATACAGTATGTACGGAGTACCGGAGTATTACCTTAGGTAAGTAATGCGGTATCCTTTTTGTTATGGTGCCAGGCAGGGTACAAACGGATTTTCCCAACCGTCGTGTGTGTCGTGGCTGTCAATAAGGTAATTAATAGCCCATTGAATGGCATTCAAAGCCATCCGTAGTCGTTTGCAAAACAATTCGCATTCCTCCAGAGGTCATTCAATTTCATTCCCATCATCCACGATGTTGTTCTTCTGTCATTCTGGGAAGGGGAAAGGGAAAGGGAAAGGGCATCTCCACCATCACCACCAGCACCATCTCGACGATTCCGGCCGGAACCATCGTACTACGAGTCATCTTCGCCAAACACCCATCCACTGAACTCATCGGCGAACTTGACGGCTCCCTTCAGCCAGTAACCGTCTTCTTTGCCCCACGTACGCTCGGCCTCGAGCATGGCGCGACAGCCCTTGACGAAATGGGCGTCGAATCGATGCGGGCCTTCCAATGCGGCTTTGGTGACAAAGTCCCAGCCCCGACCTTGCGTGTCGTAGCGGGTTACGAATTCCTTGTTGATGACCGGCCGGTTCTGCGTGATGTAGATGGACAATGCGATCAGAAGCCACTCGCGCACGAGCGGTAGATGGTGCTGGCCCTCGAGGAACGGGGTCAAGATCCGCACAGCGTGCGACGTCGTGAGCAGATGCACGAGCAGGAAGTCGTAGCCGTGTCCCCCGACGCTGCTGGCGGATGACGTGTGCAATGCCACGGCGAGTTCCTGGCTCTGAGCAAAATCCTTGGTCGGGTCGGTGATTTTCCATGCGTACCAGTGCTCCAGGAGGATCGAGCTGAGCACGGGGTCTGTCCAGAGGTGGTCGAGCTTGTCGTCGTGGGCCGGGCCGTCAAAGGCGTGGTCGAGACGCTTGTCGGCCTGGACGCGTGCGAAGACCTCGAAAATGTTGTTCGTCGTGTACGTCGGGACCGGCTTGTTCTCGAAAAGTTTGGCCAGTGTCGGGTTGTAACATGTCGCCGCAAGCCCGAGCGCTTCCATCGCGACTTCGCGGGAGTTCAGTTCATATGCGTATCCCAGGTGGATGAGCGGATGGCCCAGACCGGCAGTGAGACAGTTGAATATGGGCTGGCGGTTGGGGGAACTGGTGGAGCCACGCTCGAAGAGGAATTTTTCGACCACGGCTTTCCAGTCGTAGCCTTGCAGGACGAGCTGGTCCTCGAAGAAGTCGACAAAGGCGCGCTGGTAGGGCTTTCGGCCGAGAAACTCTCTGTAATCGTGCAGGGCGATCTCCGACGGCGAGTCCTGCCAGTGCTCTAGATTGTCGCGGGCCGAGACATCTTCGTAAATGTCGTTTAGGTGGTCCGCCGTGCTGCCGAAGAGGTAGGCCGAGCCGAGGATCTGTACAATAGGTCAGTTCAACTCAATGGCTACATTCTGTACCTGGTTCGATTCGTGGCTCGAGTTCAGGAAGGCCGGTGCTGGATGGGCAGAGAGACGGGAGTGAGAGGAAGGGAGGAATAGGCTCAGACGAGGGTGTATGCACATGAGGAGTATGATTGTGGAAGCGTAAATTGTTGTACAAGATGGAGAATGTGGCATGGTTGAGTTTGACGAGGTGCTTGAGGCGGCGCGCCCGTTTGTCGCTGGAGACTTCGATGTCGTGGACCTCGACCGAGGGGAGGGTTATCGCTTGCGTGGTCTTTGAGCGACCGAAGCCGAATTTCGGTAGGGACGATGGGACGAATGATGAGAACATGGTTGGTTAGTACTTCATGAGGTGGGCATGATTAATCGTGGATAGGGTATGGAAGTAAGCGGAGGCCATAGTACAATATATACAAGTATGTACGGAGTAGTCGTGGTAGAGCTGACGTCGAGGTCTGGATTCCATTTCTCCGCCTTTGCATTTCATAGTGTAATACGCTACCCTAACAATTTACGTCGGAGCATATGACGTTGGTGTGAAGTTTCCTTGCCACAGTATTTGTCCCATCACGCCTCAACTTCTTCCCGTCGGACAACAGCGATCGTGTTGCTTATTTCGAATTGGCAAGGATTCCAAAAGGCTTGGGGAAAAAGGAATGGCATCCATTCGGCGACGCTCATGCACAAGCTTTGGCCCGACTCGTATGGCAAAGATAACATGATCTTAGCGCTCTGTCCGTCATGCCTCACAGGGTGTTGCTTCGCGCTGCTTCTCGTGTTGAGCGGGTCGAGGCTTGGACTGCGTTCGTATTATCCAGCCTCATGATGTCGCCCCCCACTGGATTAACTGTGAGCCGAAAGCTAAGCGAGCTACATGGCTGCCCATGTTTCCGTGCATCTTCCTTGTGTTCGCAGGGTGCAGACCTCGCCCTGCTTGCAAGCCCTCCGTCGACGAGATTTATCGCAGCTTGCCCAGGCCACTATATCCTCCTTTCCACCTCGAATCTAACCGCATGGCGGCTTCAGACCTTTAACGCAGTGAACAGCCTGTGTCGCATTCTGTCCGATGCCCAGGAGGGCCTAGAGTGACGAAATCTCCCATCTCGAGCAGCAGCAGCTTCGACTGACAACGGTTGATGCGCCGTCATGATTGCTCTAGGGAGCACATGCAAGATGCGTTTGAAAGTCTTGCTCTTCGGGCCCATGATCGCCGTTGGTTGGGCAGGCGAGACTCTGCTGAATTTGACGTCCTGCTTGTCTCATTACCCAAGCATCAAAACATTTACTTCGATTCTGACTCGGTACCCTCAGGCTTGGGATACGGCCAACGTCGGAAACGTAACGAGTCAGTTTCCATTATGTGCTACGTGCTGCTCATACATAAGTTTTAGGTGAACCACAGGCTGACGAGCTGCATTGATCAAGTCTTGATTCCCTCGGACGACGCGGTTTCTGAATACCTCAGTTCCGAGGGCTTTGGTGGAGACACCGACGCCTTTACCGAAGCGTTGGTGACTTATCACCTTCTGCAGGGGACACATAGCATGATCGAGATCCAAGAGTCAACGAAGTTCATTCCAACTTTCCTCACAAACACCAGTTATGAGAATGTCACTGGCGGACAGAGGGTCGAGGCTCGGTCTTCTGGAGACGACATATATTTCTTGTCGTGTAATAGAACCCGGTCCAATGTGATCCACGCTGTGCACATGAAACACCTGCCACTTCACAGAAGAGCCTTTCAACTAATTCAAGTCCAGGACATATATTACTTCGGAGCCAATTACACATACAACGGAATCATACACATCATTGACAACGTCTTGGACATTCCCGAGGATTATGGCGATGTTGTTTCAGAGGCCTCACTCCATGGCCTCGTCCAAGTCCTCAGTCAGACACCGCCATCAGAACGCTTGAATACTATAATTGCGGAGAAAGGTGATTGGACATTGTACGAGTATACGCTTCTGACCTTGAGCCATGGTTTCGTGTCTTTTTTTGTGGTAGTCCTGTAACTGACCGGACGTGAGTTATGCAGCTTCGGCCCAAACAGCAGCACGATCCACACCGAAGGCATGACTGCACAAGATATCTACGACCTCCAAGCCTACCATTTCTTGGAAGAAGTCAGATACTCGACCGACCTCACCAATGGCACTCAGTTTCAAACTCTGCAAGGCAAGAACGTCGCGATAACCGTGGACGGTGACGGCACAATCTATGTCAACGCCGCCAAGATCATTGACCCTGACTACCTCTGGGCTAAGGGGGTCGTCCACCTTATTGAGACGTAGGTACTGTATCACATCAGCAACGTTGTGGCCGGAAATTCCCAGTGGCCTTACCGATCATCTTGTTTATTCCCCCTGCCTGTGTTTGCGTACTGTAAACACAAACTGACCCGCGCGGTTTTCGTCTCACAGGGCGATGGATCCCAACGACACGTCCGCAAGACCTGCTCTTGACAACGCAACCGGACCTCCTCCACCACCGGCTTCCTCAGCATCGGGCCTCAGCACGGGAGCCCAAGTCGGCATTGGAATTGGCGCCTCAGTCGGCGGCTTGGTGCTTGTAGCGGCTGTGTGGCTTCTGCTACGTCGACACCGGCGCAAGTCCCAACGGACCCGACGCGTGGGAGAGGTGCAACAGTTGGATTCTCGCGAGAAAGGTGGTAGGCCTAAAGAACTTGAGGCAAAGGACATTTACCCAGAACTGCCCGGACCAGGCCAGGAAGACATTCGCCATGAAATGGACAGTACGGAGCGGTCGACAACAGTCCATGAGCTGGATTAACGGAAACATCAAACATCAAACATCAAACATATCGAACCCATCGAACCATATCGAACGATCGGTATACCAGCGATACTCGGACGCACCATGGGGGATGACCGGCAGCTATGAATCGTTGCAGGTCCCGACAGGACGCAGACCAGGGGTTCTTGAGGCTAACAAGGAGCAAGGCAGATATCCTGTGCCATGAGTAATTAGGCCGCACCGAGGAAGGGAGTCAGGAACGGGTCATGACACACGCATGTGCTCAGTCATCAGGACGAGAAGTATGAGAGGGGGAGAAATGGTACGGGATGAGAGGGAGAGAAATGGTACATCGACTGAGCTTTGCCTATACAAATATTCATAAGAAGAGCGTGGAAATGATGTAGAGAGCTTTGGGAAGAAATTGGACTGCCTGGGGTATATCATGGTGGGTACCTAGGTAGCTATCACGTAGCTTTTGAAGTTGCCTAATCATCTTTCATGCCCAATGCGAAATTTGATATTCATTCCAATAGCTTGTCAGTCACATCTGCTGCACATAGTTTTCCTGATACAACCCCCCTTGAAGAATCTCCCTCACTAGCATTCTGGATGCCCGGGCGCTTCATTTCACGAACCAGGTCAACCAATTTCCCGACCACCGTATACCTCAAGCAGAAGACCCGCAACCAGGGTGCCACTGTGATCAAGGATCCAATATCTCAATCGGCTCAGCTTTGACGACAACTTTGGGCTCGACTTCGACAGTTGTAGCAGTGGTTGTGTCAAGCTCGTGTTCGGCATCGGCGTCCGCATCCGCATCGACATTCGAACTGAGTTCAGCAGTGGCCGGGCCAACTGACACATCAGTCTTGGTACTGCTATTGACGGTTGACGCGGCCACTGGTGCAGCGGCACTGGTAGGCTGTTCTGAGGGATTGGTTGGCTGTGCTGCATCAGTTTCAGTGTTGTTTTTGTCTGGTGCGATGGCCTCGACAGAGTGCAGAATTGGAGAGGAGGTGGTCTTCTCATGTGGTTCAACTTCAGCAGGGGTGGGTGCTTGGGCAATTGGTGCGTTCTGAGCTGGAGCGGTCACGGAATTTTCCGCGGCAATCTGACCGTCACTCGACCCTGGGGTGTCGATGTCGAATTGAAAATTCTGTGGATTACCGGCATACAGTGGCATATTGAGCAAGTCTTCGTAAGACCTGGAATGTGGGTTGAGCGAGATGTTGTCGATCATGCTGTCGTTTGAGACTGTGGAGGCAACGGGAGCCATGGCAGACTGTGCCCAAGGATTGAGACTTGGTCGTTGATTGAGCCATGGACCGTAGTTGTAAGCCTGATGCATTGGATAGGCAGAGCTGGTGGCCGTCGGCATTGGGAAAGGCTGATAGTAGGCAGAGGCAGCGGGGGTCCCGTATCTGTTCACATAAGAGGGATAGTAATAGGCTGGTGCGTAGGCTGCTTCTTGCTTCGCTGCGACCCGATTCGGTTCACGCTTGACAGCATCGGCAGTCAGTGTAAGCAACTCCTGATCGAGGGCATTGCTAGTCGGTTCCTCTTTGATGAGAGCCTCTTGCATGATGGGTAGCTCAGCAGTGAGACTATTGCTGGCATCAGAGGTCGAGAAGTCAGCTTCTTTCTTGATAAGCGGGGAGTTGGCCAGGGCTGAGCTCGCTGCAGTTGATGGTTCCGTCTTGATGTTTGGCTGGGTCCAGAAAGGGTTGTCGTATTGCTGGCTAGGCATGACTGGAGATGGCCAGGGAGTGGTGTCGTATTGCTCCAGCTTGACTCTCTTGTGCATGAAGTCCTGCTGCATCTCTTTTGCCTGCATAGGACGTTTCCCCTTAGCGAGCCGTTCATTTTCTTCCTCAAGAAGAGCTCTTTTGCCTTTCGCTGCTTTCTCCTTTGCAGATTTGCCCTCGCCCTCCTTCTCTTTCCTGGCTCTTGGTGGTTTTGCCTGGTTGGACATCCCTTCGAACTGCGTTCTCATACGGCTGTATCGCATTCGTGCTGCATGGCCATTTGAGATGTCAAGACCGGCTGCCACTTGGTTCCAATCGATTGATCGAAGATCGAGTTGCTTCAGGATGGCGTACAGGAACATGGGTGTCTGCCCGTCTTGAGCGAAGTTCTTGGTGCGTCGATTGTAAGCCATGATGAAAACTGGCCGATCAGTTCAGGCAGGGTTGTGTGAACTAGGGACTTCTGCAAACTTCGCAGTTGTAAATGTGTGAGGAGTGATAAGTTGTGAGAAACATTCTTCGGAGCAAAATATATCCTCCTGTGAGTGAGATTGCCTTTGTGAGAATCACCATCAACTCAGCAACACGCTCCAGTGGCTCCTGGATGAGGCTTTGTTCATGGCTGCGGCGCCAAACAAAGTGTGCCCCCTCTGCAGGTGGCTGGAACCGAAGCAAACCTTAAGAGACCAGAAGGAATAATGATTGATGTTGATGTGTACACAAAGCCGATGTTATAGCTTATTGTCAAACTGCAATGCACCACTCATCATGTAGTCTTGCTCTTCTGGCTGTTCTCCAAACTTGACGTGCTCACGGCCACCTCGGGATGTCCACCAAGCAACACAACTTGCAGCTCGGTCAACATCCATTTCATCATCACTAAGAGTCTCCCATAGCCGTTGTTGGCATTGTTGCTTTTGTGATGAATTCCTCATTGTGTGCAAGAGATCAGCAGCCAAAGGAAGCCATTCTTCCAACAATGGAATAGGGAGCGAACTCAAACAGTCGATGACGGAAAGCAACAGAACAGCCTTTTCTGACAAAGGTTGGTCGCCCTCGGTGGAAACACCTGGGTTATGTGGTAGCAGATCTTCCGAAGCGTGCTCCATGCGTTCCCTGAGCAGATCAAGAATAACAGCCTGCATCAGCGGCATAGACACCGCAATTTTTGACGGCGGAGCTGCAAGTCGTACAATCGACTTAACCGCGAACCTAAATTGCCGAGCTGTCAATGGCCTTGGGAAGCTCTGAAGCAGTGTCTCGACGTAGAAAGGCATGTTGTTGGCTGCCACTTCGGCATTTTGTGGTGCAGCTACAATGGCCAGCATGACACTGTGTGCCGCTTCGAAGATCTCACCCAACCTTGGATCGCCTCGAGGGTCGACATATGGTGCAGCAGCATTAAATAATAGTTCTTGACTCAATCGTGGTGACGCTATCAGGGTGAAATGTTCGGCGGTGTTCAGGAAAAACAAATCGTACAGACGGTCAAGAGGATGAAGAGGTATTCGTCCTAATTCGACCGGGCGGATTGTCTCCAAGAAATTTTCTGACTGAGCCTGGTATCGACTTAGGATGTCAATAGATGTAAAGTTGACAAATGTGTACTGGGAGGAGGATATGAGTCCAAATCGATGTGATATGAAATAGGTGTCGCGTAAAATGTGTAAGGTTTGCATGGCCACTCCTGGAGCAGTGGTGTCAGAGGCCAGGTTAGGGTCACAGAGGACCCTCCCTAGAACAGACCGAAGGATTATGACAGTAGCGAACATTGTATCTCGCAGCAGTTGAAGAAGGACAGGAAATGTTTTGCTTGTCGTCTCCTGGTCCAGATACTCAGCTTCTTCCCTAGGATCGGCCTCGGATAATTTGTTCTGTCTCCATGACGTTGCGAGGTTCCTTGCGAATTCTGCGATTTTATTCGTACTGTAGACAATCAACATTGGATCTTGCACGTTGTCGATGCAACAAGCTGTCAGACGCGACAATGACCCAAGCGCTGAGATGAGGCTTCTGGATTTGATCTCGGTGACTTTTCTAAATGAGGTCGAATTCACCGGCCAGTTGAACCTCTGTCCCGAAGACTGTCGAGTGTCATTGTCAACGGCTCCAATCCAGTACGCTTGCTCGAGACCTTCCCTAGAGAAGAAGGTCGCGTCGACCAGGACCGGTAGCAGCAGATCATAACGCACCTGCGCACGGTGGTAATGTGATAGAATTGGGAAGCTGTGGTTTAGAACAAAGATGACCGCCAGCTCGCAATTCGGTTCTGAATCTTTCTGTAGTAATGCGAGATTGGACGCCGTCACCAATGCTGCCTCAAGTTTGTTGCGCAGATCCGGCCGCAGCTCTTCAAAGTTCCGAGACTGGAACGCAAGCAGAAGCCCACCGATCAACAGTGTATGTCTCCAGCGTGGTGACTTGTCGTCAGCTCCATGTACGACTGCTTTGACCCATTCTCCGACAGATAAATGACTCCGCAAATGTTCGCGAGCAGGGTTTTGTTTGTCTTCGATCAATCGGAGAACTGCGGTGTAGAAGACGGAAAAGATCTGGCGACAGCGTGAAAGTTCGATCGGTTGTGGGTAGAGCAGATCATGCGACATCAGATGGGAAGTCAACAGGGTGACATTGAGGGAGTTCGATAACCTGGAGAGGAGGTTCGTCGCGGTTGGTAGCAGTCTGTTCAAAGAGTCAGCGCATTTCAATGTTTAGCGGAGGGCGAATTACCTTAGCGAATCATCTGGATAGTCCGAGGCTTGCAGTGACCGCAATAAGGTCGCCAGCGACCTGTCCATTGCGTTGTTACAATGCGGTTCGCCGGGAAGCGAAGGAATGAGGCTTCAAAGTGATGTTCTTCAAGATGAGATGCGCGGGACATTACAATAGTTGGGCTCAAGCCGAGGTGCAGCCTCGTCTCATATTGACCAATAGCGTCCAGCAAGGCTGTCTATGTCCTCGGGAGAGCTATCTAGGTACCTACCTGGCATGTAGAACAGTCCGTCAATAGCTTCAAGCAGAACAAGTCACTACCCTTAGTCTTGGTCTTGAAAGAGCATCCTGTCAGCTCAAATAGCTGTACCACCTCTTGCTTGTCCTGATCAATTGAGTCTCTTCGACAGACTCTCTGCCTTCTCCTTCGTCATCCCCATCAAATCCAGCCCTTTCTTGCCCATGAAAAGCTCATAAACCAACACTCCAAACCCGACAATCATCACGGGCCCAGCCACCATGTGAGTTATCGACACGACTGCCTCTTGCCATTCTGCTGCGCCGCTGGACCCGGCTTGCGACGCCGCAATCGGGAGTATATGCTTCGCACCCCTGCAACAGAGTTAAACACAGTAAATCCATGATAGTGGAGGTACGACTTTTTCAAGAGCGAGTATGGTAATTGCTTCTTCCAATGTTAGATAGGGTTAGGCGAGGAGGGCCTACCAGTAAGCGTTGACGGCTTCAGTAGTGACAGTGATCCAACCAGAATTCATACCCCAAACCACAAAAGTCTGCTGGAGAGGAGAAAGTTCGAGGATATCCGTCTGTTCCACAAGCAAGCCTGTGATGAAGATCATGCAACCTGAACACCGATAACCGTGTTAATATGGAGGCACTCAGCGACGTCCCAGTCGACCCATTATCTGGCGGATGTGGACTTGAGACAATATGATGGATGGATGGAGACATACCTATAGTCATGGCTCCGACGTGGGCTGTCACGGCCAGACGCGGAAAGGGCGTGTTGGGAATATGGGGTCCCCACAAGAGGCCCAGGAAGAGCATCCCTGCTCCGGAAGCAATGAGCTGAAGTCCTGCGCGATGTTGAGTCATGATTGCAAGTAGGGGTTCTGTTCGTTGGTGGCAAAACTCTTGTTAGGTGCGGTGAGATAGTACCAGGACCTTCGAACATCAGGCTGCAAAGATTTTGCCTTGCGAAGGGCACAGAGGGTCCTCCTTATACTTCAGTCTGTGTCGCGTACGGATCATGGTGGGAGTCTCATAATCGCTGTGATATCACACGGGTCAAACCTCAAGATGGTAAGTGGTCTGCTCGAGATAGCACTTGAAGCTAAGTAGGTGCTCCTACATACTGTCACATCAATTCTTGGGAGTTGTTACGGCAATGTCACTGCTCAGTGGACAGCCATTTCAGCTCATTCGGTGGCTTGAGGTGACTATGCGAATCGCTCAGCCAGCCACATCTCACGTTCGCTTAGCTGCGCATCCCCAACCATCAATTCGGGGTTGTAATGCTAGCGAAGCGAGTACTGAGCACTCGTTCTACGTTGAAGAGGAATTGAGACAGCGACCGGTCCGTTGCTCTGTCACATACAATCTGCTGAGAAGTCTGGAGGTGACGCACCAAATGAGGTTGGACAGGATGCACTGGAGATTCCAAATTGTGGTTCAGCCACGTACCGATTGATCAATTGCGTCACGCAGGGCTCTTGTATCCTCTTTCCCAACCATACAGTCTCATGCCATATCTACGTCGCCACCACCAGTCTCGTCGGCAGATCCCTCAGTCTCATCACTCATGTCGAGGTCAAATGGGGTGACAGAGTTTCTCGGTGTATACACCAAACGCAGGGTCATACTCATGACCGTAAGCGCCCTGCCGTGGGGAAGGTGTCTCTTCGTGCTCCAATTCTGACATCTCTGGAAATTCCGAGAGGTCATCCCCTTGCTCAGGGCTGGTAGTTTCATCTTCCTCTCTAGGAGTGGCAACGGATGGACTCGCGCCTAGGTTGATGTAGTCAAGTAGAGCACCCTGTGGAAACCGAACTCTTGCACCATTTTGCACGCGTTAAAATTCGAAGGTCTCACAACCATCATGGCTAAAATTGGGAAGATGAATCGAGTCCAGCACAAAATCTTTTCTTTGAGACAGTTTTCTGAATAGGGATGACCAGTGAACGGCCCGGCACATTTCTTTCAACACCAAATGTTTCAATCTTTGTTGGTTGACAAGAAACTGTGCTAGCCAACTTGTGGTAAAGTAGATCATTTGAGAGCAAAGGGAGCGAAGTTCTGGGAACTTCACCCTCGGTAGCCATCCATGGAGCCCATCTGCCGAAAACTGGTTCTTTGAAGACGACCCGAGGCAGATCTTGAGATTTCTCAACTTCGAAGCTTTGGACAAGGCCTTCAGGAGGCGATATGCGTGTGGGTGCCTATTGAGATTTGGGTCCGAACGCGCTCTGTGGCATCTGTGTTTTAACTCCAGACGCAATGTCAAACTGGTCAAATTCCGGAAGGCGCCTGCCCAGGCACTGTCCGAGATTCGATGGCCCAAATTCATGTCAATCGTGTCGAGATCGAGCCCACGATCGACAAGAAGATGTTGGTCAGGCCGAACCTCCAGATGCTGAATGTTGTGGTTGCAGTACTGATCTCCCATTGCTCGGCAAATGTCCAGAAATCCACGTGCAGGCCAGGCAGTGACAGTGTGCGTTTGCAGAACAGCGCGTACACCGGCGTGAGCGATGGGGAATAGGTCGAGGAATTCCTTCAAGGCATCGGTGCGTCTGAAATCGAGGTGATTGACTGTGAAGTTATTCAAGGCTTCAGTACACACAACATGCCGTAGATTCGGAAGCCGTCGAAATGCGGACCGACAGGTCAGGTACAGAATGTCGCTCTTCTCTAGCATTGCCTTTTCAGCATAGAGGTCGACGATTGCCTGCATTCCCCGTTCGACTACCACTTTGGCCAACGATAGTAGGTCAATTGTAGTGCTGCAATCTTCTTCGCTGAGTCCTAGTGGTACGTCCCAGTCCTCTACGAGGAAAGCTTTGACAGAGGTATGATGCGGATGCTGAATTTGACACTAATCTTCGATAACATTTGGGGTCCTTGAAGTTGTGATGAATTCTTACATGATGTTGGCGAGCCGCTGCAATCCATTGTTGGGGTGCCCAAGCGAAAGACCACTCAGACCTAGTTCGTAGTATGACAGTTCTTCCACAAACTGCGACAAATTGGGACTGTCCACAACACCGTAGACCCGGTCTAGTGTCAGGATGGTGAAGGAGATCTTGCGAAATAGGATGGGAGTAACGTGTGCTGCGAGAATTTTGTTGGTTAGCTTCAGACGTTTGAGGTCTTGAGGCTTGAGCGGCCGCAACACCTGCTGAAGGGTCTCCGAAGGTATCTGATCAAGCATCTTGAACACGCGCCCGTAGAGAGATGCGAAGGGAGATGAACACGATGCGATCAAACCTGGAAGTCGCGTGGGCGATGGGCAGGCATCGAGTTGTCGCTGCACGTCCAGGACTTCATTTCAAAATTCGTGACAGGACTCACTGAAAAGGAAATGGAAGTGAGACAGCAACTGCCAGTTCACTTGCTTTGGCAAAGGTGAAGTCAAGGTCAACAAGCCAGCTAGAAGACTTCACAAGGGGGAGTACTCTGTACCAAGAGCGGAAGATCAAGCTCCACCGTACACAACCATGACAGTAATGCTTCGCCGTGGTAGCCACGACGGAGCATTAAATCATTAAGTGCAGGAAAAGAAAGGGTACGAAAAGGCAAACTCCGCCAGCAACTCTGCGACGAAGACCACATGCCAGTCACATCAGTACCATTACTGTCGCTCGTTGTTTGCAATCGCGACAAGATGTGAGATTCTTGGAAAGATCTGATCCTCTCCAGCGAATTCTTGATCAGCAGAGCCATCTTACCTGAGCGGTCGCACCACCATATTCTTGCTGCCAACCGGACCTCTCGTCGAATGGTATATTCGGGCTCATTCCTGCGAGCGCTCTTGACTGCCTCGCGAGCTGAGACGACATGCTGCACCACAAAGGTAGGATCCCTGCCAGGCAACGGTACCCTCCTACCAAACTTCTACCTGAACGTGGGTTAAATAAAGCTCAAAGCCAGCCGCATGTTGTATAACGCTCGACCCGCGCTGTGGCTTTCGGCGGATTTGTCGTCCTTGCAAGTGACATCATGTTACAGGCGACGACCGAAAAACCAAGCACGTCACCACTTTTTTAATGATTCCGCGCAAGTTGGTCCACTTGGGATGGAAATCCCCCAGATCTACACGGAACGTAGATCGAACCATCGTCTATGCTAACGTCATGAAGGCTACGAGAGGTTTCGACATTGCGGACATCCGAGGAACGGTCTTCCGTCAAAGTCAAAAAAAATGATGCCGTAAAGTGCTGAATGCTCCCTTCCCTGGGGCCAGCCTGGCGACACAGCTGTAAAACGACAGCACAAGCTGGCTGACCACGAGAGCAAAAATGTCGGAAACGGAGCGAAGAAGTTCAGATCAAACACTTAACGCGGAAGGAAGTGGGAGCAGTTCTGCTCGCAAAGACATGCAACGAGAAAGCGAAGACGAGAAAATGGAAGCCAGAAGAGGACGAGGACGACCAGACCTCGAGCCTCGTCACGACGATGAAGAGAAGAACGACCCCAACAACCCTCCGCTACCAGTCAGCCTCTTCCATTCCTCGCTGCGGCCTGTCTGGAAAGAAGTCACCAAGAAATGGCTCATCACCGTCCTCACTCTGTTCACCTTCATCCTCTACATCCTATCCCTTTACTGGGCCGTGCTCCCCATGTCGAAGAGAACCTATCGGCCCTGACCGTGACCGTGGTCAGCTTCGATAGCCAAATTCCTCCGTATGAACCCACCGCGCCGCTCGTCGGCCCTGTGATTGAACGCCTTGCTCGCGAACAAGCAGCCATCCCCAAAGGCAGGCCAGGCTACGTTATCCAGCCGCCATCAAATTACGCCAACGACCCTTTCGCCGTCCGTCAGGCCGTGTACGACGAACACATTTGGGCTGCCATCATCGTCAACGCCAACGCAACCACGCTCCTCCAACAGGCCGTGGCAACGGGCAATCAATCCTACCAACCACTCGGGGCGTGTCAAATAATCGTCAACACGGCCCGCGATCAGGACACATACTACAACTACCTCATGCCTCTCCTCTCTCAATTCGAAGTATCCGCAACCTCATCCTTCGGCGAACAATGGATCCGCACCGTTCTGTCCAACATCTCCCTCTCCGCCGGCACATACTCACGCGCGCCACAAGCACTCAACCCGGCGATCGGATTCTCCATGTTCAATCTACGTCCGTTCTCTCCAAGCCCAGTGACTCCCAGCGTGACGACCGGGCTGATCTACCTGATCATCATCGCCTTCTTCAGCTTCTCCTTCTTCCTGCCCGTGTAGACGAAATTCCTGATCCCCAAGGGCCACCCGCCCATGCACTTCTGGCAACTCATCCTGTTGCTTCTGTTCGCTACGATCGCCGCCTACCTCCTCATGTCTCTCGCCTATTCACTGGTGTCACTCGCCTTCCAGATCCCCTTCTCAAACACCGGCCCACACCCCGATACGCAGCCGGCAAACCAACCCGGACGCGTACGGCAAAGCCACATTCGTGGTCTACTGGATGCTAAACTGGGTCGGCATGTACGCACTCGGTCTGGCGAGTGAGAACGTCACCATGATCATTGGTCAGCCTGGGACAGCTCTGTAAGTCTGCAGCTGATTTTCTCTCACCACCCCTCCAACTCATGCTGTCCCCAGCTCATGAAAGCATTCTGGAGTAGCAAGTCTTGACTAACTCTCTTGTCTAGCTGGCTGATATTCTGGGTAATATCGAACGTGTCGACTTCTTTCTACGCAATTCCCTTGGCCCCCGGGTTCTTCAAATTCGGATACGCATGGCCTTTGTACCATATCGTCAACGGCAGCCGGACCATCTTGTTCGACACGTATAGCCAGATCGGGCTGAATTTCGGAGTCCTTTTCGTCTGGTGCGCGGTCAACACGCTCTTATTCCCCTTCTGTTGTGTGTTCATGCGCTGGAAGACCAACAAGGAGTTGGCGCGGAAAGTGCCCCGAAGGACGATCAAATATTTGGTTGATGGGTAGACACTGTCTAGACGGACGATCAGGTATCTGGTTGATAGGTGGGAAGTGCGAGAAGGGACATCAAATATCCGGTTAATGGGTAGGAAGTGCGAGAAGGAGCATCAAATATTTGGTTGACGGGTAGACACTGTCTAGACGGATGCTCGAGTATCCGGTTGATGAATAGAAAGGCCTCAGAATAACGACCACGTAACTTGACGGGTAGAGAAAATGCATTGCCTTACATACATGGAAAAATATAGGCACCAAAACGAGCGAGCATTTGAAAAATATGGCATGGACATCTTGGGATGGACAAGAGGTCTGTCGGCCGTCTCGCCATCTACAGTAACACTGTAACACGTTGATTAGATGCCCTAGAGGTATTCTTTGCTACTATCGTAAGAACCATCGTTGGGATAAACTACCGCTGTAGCAGCAACGACGACGACAAGGAGTGCAGAAAATAGGAGCCTACGCCTGATCCAATAACTGAGTGTGCAGCCTGGATGAAAACAAAGCAGACCAACCGAAAGGGTTGGGCAGGGGAGTACATTCATACTGCAGAGCCATGAACGGTACGATGTTGTCATTGTCATATTCAGCTTGCTTTCGTCTCCGCAGACCGTCAAAGCCCTGGTCATCCATACATATACACAGTGCTGTATGCACAGCTGGCGGCGATTGAGACTGACAAGGTAGATCTTGAAGGATGTCATGGGTCATCGAGCAGCAGGGCCACCATTTTGAGTGCAGTCAGTCAAAATCGGTCGACCGACACTTTCCTTCACTTTCAGTGCACAGCTGGGGAAGACACTCCAAAATTACATATCGACGTACAAAAGAACGAGCCCTTCAAAGCTGGAGTCAGTGAATGTGACTCGGACTCGGACTCGTGGCCCCGTGACATGGGACGTAGACGTAGACGTAGACGTAGCCGTAGACCGAGTAGACGCAGTCACCGACACCGACACCGACATCGACACTGAAAGATGGGGCCTGATCTGAGCGTGTCTGACCTTAGCGTGCCTGACCTACACCTAGGGAAAGTAGAAGAATAGCCAAGAGATGACGTGCAGTGCAAGAAGCTCAAGAATTGAAGTGAAGTGACTTGACTTGACTTGGGACACGACTCGTGCTGTGAGCCGTGACCTCGACATCGCCAGTGAAAGACAGATGGATGGATATGGGGGTCACCGTGTACTTGTGCGTGGCCATGGCCATAACGTAGGGCCACGACAGACAGGAGACAGGACATGTTCAAGTCACCATCGGCCCATCGGTCACTCAACGGCTGTCTGCCCTCTTGACTTGCCCCTCCCCAAGAGCACAGGCTACTTACTGAACAACAAGGCGAAAAGAAGAAAAAGGCAGATCCCATCATGAAGGGTGTGGGCATCCAAAAGACCCTGTCATCGACAGAGGATGCGAGACTGTGCGAGAGGCCCTTTACCTTTTGCCGCAACAGCAATCTTGGATCTCGATCACGGTACGTTGGTGATGTTGTTTGTCCTCATTTCGCCTGCCGTAGGTGCAATCACCACCGCAAGAGCACAAACCATGGCGGTCAGTGGCACGAAAAGAAGAAAGGCAATCTTTTGATTTCCCAAGGAAAAACCACGCAAATCGCAACAATCAATGCCCTCCGAGGATGGGTCCGAAGTGGTGGCGAAACAGGCAGGCAGTGCAAATCGCTCGTCTCAGCAACAGATGAGTCGACGATGAGCTCGAGCGGAACCAGAGAGTCGATCATTTTGCCTCTGATGCGCGAACCGTACGCGGTGGCTCGAGCACAAACCGTCACAGGAAGGAATCGTTGCTGATCTGAGCTTCCAGAGTGCAATCTTACTCCAGGGACCACGACACAACACACAGACATGTCGACAGCGGACCGGCCGAGGACGGGCGACACGGTCCCCTTGGGGTCGTTGACGTGGACCGGGTCGAACGGGGCCCAGCTTGCAAGAAGAAGGGTGGTGTGACAGACCACTTACAGGACTCTGTGAAAGTTTGACTTCCGAGGCACTTCGCCCTGACTTTGCCGTGACCACAGACAGAGACACAGACACTGAAGGCGAAGTGACTTGATTGACTCAGGTACGTGCTCGAGGGCATTGGTAGACCCCTGAATTTCTCCGTCGCTGGAGGCAGGCACAATGTGCGCCCGACGCCAAAAGTCCACACCACCATCTTTGGGACCGTGTAGGACATGGCAGTACCGTCAAAGCCATCAAAGTTGCGAAGTAGACAGTGTTCCTGCATGAAGCCAACCCCAAGAGACCAGTGAACCCCCGAATTGGGACGGCCTGCAGCAAAAGACACCTACTACTGCCGTGAGCAGCCCACCAGTATTGTCTGCACGTTACAGAATAGGCCAACTGCAGCAGACCGAGTTCAGCCGGACCTCGACCGACGTAGAACCAGGCCATCGGAAGCGAACAGGCTCGACGTGAAAAACGTAACCTGCCGGCATAGGCGAGGCGAGCCAAGGTCGGTTCAAGCAGTCATGTATGGAGAAAGGCCAGTCGAAGACAGGTCCTGAGGACATGCAGAATGACCAGCGCACAAAGGCATGCATAATTGACAGCTGTTCTCGCCCTTATCGTCCACTTTTGCGCCGTCTCTGGCGGGGGAAGATGACGAATTTGGGTTTTCGCTCTATCCTGCGGCGTAGCGACGATGAACAAGAGGAACTCTGTACGGTAATGGTAATGGAGGCTATGGGGACGGCTAGGTCCACAACGATCCGAAGAGTCTTGAGATCAGAAAGAGCACTTTGCTGACTTTTGCCTCGCCTCTGGAGCCAGGGTTGCTGTCAGTGTTATGCACGACCTAAGTCTGACTTGCATGGTGACAGCAGCTCCCCTCTTTTGCTGGTGGCCCCTCAACCCCGCCGCACAAGGTGGACGAGAGAGCTCTGGACCCTTTGGTTGTGAGACCATCAAAAGCCTTGGTAAGGATCGCTAAGGGAAGTTCCATCGAAGCGCGGAGGTGAGGGCCGGACGATGAGTCTTCCAAGGTTGCCAATAGGTTGCGAAAAAGCAGAAAAGGTCGAAGGGGAGCTTACGCGTAGTGGGCAGAGGAAGAGGAAGAGGGGAAGGGAAAGAAGAGGCTGGGCATTCGTAGGTGATTGTGCCGATCCGGCTGGGAAGCAGCAGCCCATCGTCAGTCAGATGTGTCCCATCATGTCCGATTTGTTCATCGTGCAGGAAACTGCAGGCACTTGACCAGATGGTCATGGATGGGTTGAAGAACAGCGGCATCATTCTGCAAGCGGCCTGTTCGCTTCCCTGGATTCGGACCCCTTGTCTGAATCCTTGCCCGTTTCTGTCGTGCATTCCTCTTGTCATCGATAAGCGAGTGGCAAGCCCAGGGTTGTCTGCAGTGTCACCAGCGATTACAGGGGGTTTCGGCTTGCCCTTGCTGTGCAACCTGGGCGCCCAACTCTACTTGCACGTCTGTCGTGGTAACAGTACCAAGTACCATGTACTCGCTTGGAAAATTGAAAATTGAAAATTGTGGTGTGAGTGCCCCCCGTTTCAGCCTCGCTTGTGATGCGAAAGTGCCCTAAGACATTGGGTCAACGGCTTTTGGTATGCGATGTAACGGCAAAGGCAAGGGCTTCAATGCTGACGCTGGAAAGGATTCGGTGACCGCTGGTACTCCGTATAGGAGCTGAAGCGAAGGAAAAAGTCCACACAACGTCGAGTCTCGCGTAATATTCATTCGTTGTTTCCTGTGTGTTGTTTGTTGTACAAGTGACTAATACTAGTAATGTGCCATACCGACATCCAGATAGATGGCCAAGTTTTCATTCCATACGTAAATCCTCCTCCACGTTGCGGCCATGTTCTGTTCTGTTGTGCCCGCCGTCTTCATCCGCTGGTAGAAAAAGTCTTGATAACATCATGCGTGGAGCCCATTCTCAATATTTTCCATGAGAATAAATGTCACTCGTCAAAAGTCTGGCAGTATGCCAAAAGCAAGCGCAATCCTGTCTGAATAATTGTACATTGTAGCCTTGACCCCCGGGTTGGAGTGAAAGCGCGTCTGCTTTCCCGTTCCAACCAACTCATTCCATCATAAAAACCCGTTCCATCGTGAAAGCCTTGTAGTCCTGATTCCGGTCGTTGAAAAAACGTAGCGCAGATCTTGATCTTTTAAAGTGGGAAGAATCTCCTCATGCCCGGCTTTGAATGGCCTTGGACCTCTCTCGTTTGAGTTTAAGGGCCGGCAGCTGCCGACGGCGAGCGTTGATAAACCAGTTGCTAATCTGACAAGATTGTTAATAAATGAACCATGAACACCAAGAATGTTGCCAACTCACCTGACTGATTGTCAGACCTGTCCGTTGAATGAAAACTTGCTTCTGCTCATCACTGGGATAAGGATGATCCAGATGCTCTTGCAGCCATAGGCGGAGAATGTCCGTGATGGGCTTCGGCAAGTTGCCTCGGCGTCGTCGACCATTGCCATGGGATGGATAGCCCATGATCGGGTAGGACATTAGTTGGCTGAACTTCATATGGTAGGGAGAGGTATCCATGGATCGGTATCCCCCATCGTATCCCAGTGGACTCCGATATTGTTCATAGGACTGCCCGTATCTGTTGAAGTCCATGGGCTGATTGTACGATCTGTCTGACATGAGGTATGGGTTGTACCGGGGAGCCGCATGAACTTCTGGTGTCCTCCATCGGCCGTAGGTGTCTGGGCTCTCGTGGGCTGGTCGGTTCAGGGAATATGTAGATGAATAGACGCTCTCTTGCGTGTCAGAGGGGATCATCGGCTGGCTGATGGGGTAGGGCTGGGGTTGAGTTGGGAGAGTTGGTCCAGCACTCATCGGAACAGGATCGGTGTATGTGGACGAGGTAGACCAAGGTGAGCTGTATTCTGCCGGCGTTCGTGCTGGTGTTTGCAGTTGGAGAGAGGGTGGAAGTCCATTCATCTGCATCTGGCTTGTTGGGTCGGTGGGATAGGCCATGGGGCTGGAGTGCGGTTGCACCGGAGCTGGTATGCTCGCCACATTCATGCTCGTCGTGGGGTGAGAGCTGAGATACGGCACCGCCATCGGCCTCGAGTGGGTTGGCACCTCTTGAGCGTGGGATTCGAGAGTGTTCCCGCGTGGAGGAGGGATGACCTGATGATCATGTCAGTAAGAGCTCAAGGTTCTTCGTCGTCAGGACAACCCACCTCTCGAATAGATGGCAGTTGCTGCTCAGGCTGAGGGATCTCGAGCCTTGGTTGGCCGTGCGAGGCATAAGGCCTGGCCGCTGTTTGGTTGTAGTGGTCCATGTTTGAAAGTATGACTTTTTGATAGAAGATGACAGTGAAAGTGATGGTTGAGCTTGATGAATGGGAACCAAGCAGGGCAGGCTCGAGGCTAGATATTCACTTGAGATAGAAGCGGGTCCGCACGTTCCAAGTGTCTCCTTGGTCGGTGCAAGACTGCTGTCTGCCAATCACCAGCTGTCTGTGGGGGAGACGCCCTGGCCAGCTGTCCAGCTGCAGGAGAACTACGGCCCAGGAGTCTTTGAGCGAGGTTGACAGTGCATTGACAGTACCAAAAGACAAAACAAAAGGCAGAGACGTAGTCAAAGCACCGAATAATGGAGACTTCATATCGCGTCGGGCTAAGATCGAGACACGCAGGGTAGACAGATATGGCTTGCAGGATCAAAACGTCGACATCAAGCGACCATGCCACATTCGAAGATGTCCGCAGCGCAATGCATTCGAAAACAGCAATGATGGAGGCCGGTGGGGGTAAGTGCATTCACAGAGTGAACAAAATCTGTGCTAGCCGGCCCTACGTATGCTGCGCAGAGCGTTTTCGAGCAAGTCGAGCAAGTCGAGTCGGATCGAGCGTGAGCGCGCGGTGGCGTGGCCTCCACCCGATTCCAGGCTCTCCGCCAACCGCCATTATACCACAGTACAGCCTGCGTCTTCTGAAGATAGTCAGGGACCGTTCGAGCTGGTCACTGTTGAGGTGGTGTGGGTCGTGGGACCCGCCTTCGGGAGTTCTTCAGACGAGGGGCGGGCTAATGACGATGTGCCTGCGTCTGGCCTTGCAGCTGGGCGTTGTCCCATTTGGCACCCCCTGCCACCTTGAATCGGGCAAGTTCCAAAAGACCGACAGCACCTGCCAGTTTCAAGGTGCACTGACTGGTCTTTGCTGGACCGTGTCAGGCCAGCAAATTACCGCAAGCAGGCACGGACGATAATAGGGGTGCAAGCAGGCCGTCGACGTCGCAAACATCCGTTGCGCGACGCGCAGAGAGGACATGACGACTGCTTTCCTGAGTGCCTGCTTCTGCGGATCACGGTTGCGGCTCCAACGGCAGGGCAGCTCGCTAGAGGAGAGCGTATAGCCCAGATGCAGTAATGAATTGGTTGATCTGGATATCTTCGGATGTGGCTAAGTGATAATTTCGTTGGCCAGTCTGGGGAAGACTAACCCATCAGTTGCCGTGCAAGCAACGTAACCTGCTTCGACCGGTAGCTTACAGGCGAACTGCGGATTGAGAAATGCCGTCTCGAGTCCGGGTCGCTTCACTGCGGCTCGTCCCCGGTAACCCTTGAACACTGAGAAGCGACTGCATTTCTCTTCTGAATCCAGAACCGCCATTATCCACAGGCGGCCATTTTCGGTACAGTCCGGTGAGCACACTGTTGAACGTGGACGAGCGATGGCCCGACAAAGACTAGACTGCGAGACTGGGAAACTGCTAAGGACAAGTGCGCTGGATCCTTTAGCCACCAATGAGGGGCCCACAATCGTCTGATGTCGTTATGCGGCGACCAGGCCTGGGCCGTAATTAGTTTTGGAGACTTGAGAACACGCCACATCCGATGGATGGGGTAAGAACCAGGTCGATTTATATACTGTGTCGATACACCAGCACATATTGCCGATGGATTGAACCCGCCATTCCTCTGCATGTGAAGTGACAGAACGCGCTGGTAGAATGCCATGTCTCGACTACTAAGCGCGAGAAGCGGAATCCGGAATCAACACCCCGTTTTGGTTTGTCTGATTCCGTCCATGGTCTCCGGACCAAGAAGTCATGTGTTCGAGCATTCTGCAAAGGGCTCAGGCTATTTAGTGTTGGTTTGCAGTAGTTTCCGGGAATGAGTCAAACACTTCCCGCGGAGGGAAATAGGTCGGGGTTGGATCAACTCGGGAGCAGATATGTCGCCAAATCGAGAATGCATTTTCCCATCAGCAGTCCCTTCCTGGGCAGGGTGCCTGGTCCCATAGCATGATCCCAGCATGGCACGATCCGTACCCCAGGCTCTCACCCTGCCAGGATGATGCCAGTATTTGTATCTCATCATGTCAGAAGATTTCGAAGTTTCTTACAGGGTGGGTTGATTGTATTTGAGATTGAGTTCACCAACCCAGATGTTGACAGGACCTGTGTGGTTCTCTCACACCATGCGAACAGGATACAGTGAGCTAGGAACGTGTTATTTGCGAGTCTCCAGACAATCTCGACCATGATGGAAGGTGGATAGTCATGCTCCGACATGTTCGGCGTTCCCATCGCGTCCGATCTGGTTGTCCTCATCTGCTCGAACCTGGACCTTGTAGCATTAGGCATTAGGTAAACTTGGTTTCGTACAAGGTCTTCCCAGCCAATCCGGCCGTGTGTGAAGCATGCTGTCTCGTCAACCCGAGTGCTGGCTGTTGGTGGACCGTGATTCATGGGGAGGTTGGCGGACAAGGATTTTCGGATAGCATCCGAAAAAATCAAAGAAACCTGCTGTAGTCCGCTCGGCCTATGAGGAAAGCTCGTCTGCCGTCATGTAAACTCTGTCAACATTCGACTAGGTAAGAATCTTCGATCGATATCCTTGCTGCCCATGCCAACAACCTCTTAGTGCTGGTAGGTACTGTGCAGGTGCACGATTTTTCATGAGTCGGCCAAGTCCTTGTCTCTGATTAAGGCATCTTTAGATTCTTGTTAGCTACACACTTCCTTGCGGGGAGGAGTTCCTTCCGATATCAGCGGCTTGTGAGCGGAGCCATTTGCCCTTAGTCACCTACCTCTGGAGACGAAGTCTTGAATAATGCGCCATCAATGATTCATTGTCCGGAGCGAGTCAGACTCTATGCACAAACGAGTATCTTCATCACGCCGGCAACTCGTGTTCGCGACGCCACCGTGAAAGAGCCGCATCTTGGTAAGCCCATGTGGTCATCGGCTCTGGGTGCAGGGCGGTGCAGGATTGCCTAGCACGGTGCAGTACTCCGTCTTGTGTCCTCGTTCAGTCAACTGGATTTGCCACTGGCGAGTGCGATAGCAGGCAGAGCCAGTCAGAAAACAAACCCACAGCTCTCGCGGGCCGTCGGCTGCGGATGGGATTGGCCGATGCGAGAAAATCAAGAGCAAGGACTTTTCCTCAGCAATGATGCTGCAGAGCTTTTGGATTTTGGATTTTGGATTTTGGATTTTGGAGCTTCACTTCAAGCTAAAGACGCGATTGATTTAAGGTTTACCGCTAACTCTCGGGGGCGATGGGTTCCGCCAAGCCCTGGGGTGGAACTATCTCTGATTGGTTCTAGATCCCTGCAAGCTTGGCCATTATATGTAGTTTGATTGGCTCGTATGCCTCGGTGCAGAGTTTGCTAGACCCGGGTCCTAGTTCCTTGGAGACTCTTGCCGCGGCCCCAGGCGGGCCTTGATCGCGCAATCCTATAGTCCCTGTAGCTCGTAGACTGGCGGACTAATGCACAACAACAACAACACAACCAAGCCCAACACTGGCATCAGACCCTCACTCGAAATCCCTTTGCGGGACAATGGTCCACTTTTTCACGTACTGAAACCCCAATGATGATTACTGTGTAGAAGAACAGCTTTCTCTCTTCCCTGAACAAGAGCTGCTCAACCCCGCGCAAGATCAAACGATCCTCCTTCCGTACCACTCCTACCTGCGTAAAGATAGTCCCTCCAGCAGCCATATCCAAAGTACTATCTCGTAGGATCATATACCCTGAAAAATGACGTATAGTCCAGCAAATACGGCCTTTGATCATGCTCCAAATGGCGTTTGCTTCAATGGCTTCCAACCCAACCCACAAGGTCCTATCGCCCCAGTCGAAGGCCTATGTTCACGTGCAGACTTCCTGCTTGTTCCTCGGTTCATGAGCATTCTGCTCTCAAGCCTCCAGAGAGAAACTTGAGACCCTTGTGCGTTTCGGGCTAGTTTCCCGCCCACGACGTCCTCTGGACCGTTCTTCACGGCTTCACCGATAGCGCCTCTGTTGTGCATGCCTGCATTTTCCCAACAATATCCGTTAGCGCATCCATCGCACCGGGTTTGGGTGTTATGGTGCTATCGAGCATGGCCACCGCCGATGCGCGAGCTGTCCCAAGTGGGAGGTCTGGAAGAAGACGAGTCTTCTTGGATCCCGGGGTTCCGTGGATATGATTAATTGGACAATGGCGTGCCGACGTCTTCGGGCTCTGCTGCGATACAATTCCACTCCCACAAGGGTATTGATCGAGCTGGGGGCGCAATCGAAATACGGATACGGAGAGGTCTAACCAACCATATCGTGCCCATTGTCGCATATCTGCGTTTCATCATACAGTACTCGTAGACCGTCTAGCAGCCAAGACGCTGACTGCTGTGTAAGGAGCTGGATGTTGGCAAAAGTACTGTTCAAACAAGTAACGATCGACATCGAGAGGTCCCCCTCATTGCTGAAATGTCGGATGTAAAATCTTATTTTTCAGGTGAGATGCTCCTTGCCAGAGATCGGATACCCCTCCAGCTCGCCGACACAAGATCTTCCGCCCTGTCCGTTCCCTGTGACAACATATCTAAGTTTCATTGCGAATTTGAGCTAGGCATGCCTGGGGTGCCCTGTCGCTGGCTTAAAGAAGGTACGATTGAGTCATGCCATTCTGCAACCACGCCGATCGAAAAACGAAACTTCCCAGGGTCCAAAACCCCGATATAGCATTCAGCGCTGAGCTGTACAAGGGATCCTGCTTTTTCTCATTAAAGCTGAGATATCACGTACAGTAGTGGAACGGCGCTGCAGGGTTCATTTCTGAGGACGACTGCTGAGCCGACCACCAGCTAACTAATGCCGGTTGTTGTCAACAGCAGCAGCGTCTTCAGATCCAAGCGAAACACTTATCCTGTCTGGACGGCAGATGTCCGAATGCAGCCCTCAGTCCGCATACAACATGAGACTAGTGGTTAGTGGTGCGCCGACGGTCCTTCTTTCGAGATGGAGGAGTGGGCGATTTCGGATTCACCCCTGTCCAAAGTGGCGCTTATTCAAGGTGAGAATTTACCTAAGCAACCTGCGAGACTACTGTGGTTAATTAACTAGTGTGCCACTCGGAGCGGCCCCATTTCTTCTTCCTCGGACTCCCTCGGGCTGCATTCGCACTTATGTACATGTTGGAAGAACGGTTTCCCGGTGTTGAAGCCATTCGCTTCCTCTTCCTTATAAAACTGTATTGCTGCACGGAGTATCACAATTGGGAACTCCAAACGAGTTTCCAACCATAGACTTTTGCGAATGGTCTTGAAACTACTCAACTACTGCAGGGTCCACAGACAACTCAGTTTGGCTTGGAGAAAGTATCCGGCTCGCATGAATCATGAATTCAATGACAAGACGGAACAGTCGGCACAAGACATGAGACGTGAGATGTGCTCGTTCGAGTTCGAGTTCGAATTGTGTCTTGACTGTCAGAAATTAGGTAAGCGAATATCCCTTCACTGGTGGGTGGCCGGCTTGATATTATTCCTTTCCCGTTCAGCCTCGCCGGCGAGACTCTCGGGGATATTGACCGTCGGCTTAATACTCGCTGGAATTGGTGATGAAATCCTTGCACCATCCAACAATTATCTTGAATATTGCCTACTCTGAGCAAATGAACGACCACGGCATTTGGCCCAAGTACCAGTAACGGCGCCGCCGTTTGTAAGCTGTGCCATAGGGCCGCCTACCCTTCTGGTACCAGCTCCCGAATCCTCATCACCCAAATATCACCATCTGCAAAAGGCCAAAATGGGGAGTATGCGCCCGTGAAAAGCAAGTCCTGATCGCTTTGCAGAAGAGTTGTTCTTGTTATATTTGTGAAAGAACGCGTTGTCCTCCTTTTGCCCATTTCTCTCTTTACGCGAGATCTTCTTATTTGCATAGAAAAGCGTTTATTGCCCTCATTCTGATTACCTGTTGCCTATCGTCCGTTTTGCCGAAATTGTTCTTGAAATCCAGATCATGTCCGTCGCCAAGCCGAACTGGTGGAAAGCGAGTACCTGCTACCAGATATGGCCAGCTTCCTACAAGGACAGCAATGGCGACGGAATCGGTGACATACCCGGCATCATCAGCACACTGCCATATCTCAAAGATCTCGGCATCGAGACGATATGGCTTTCGCCCATGTACGATTCTCCCCAGAAAGACATGGGCTACGATATCTCAAACTACGAAGACATTTACCCACCCTACGGCACGCTCGGCGACATGGACAATCTAATTCAATCGTGCCACGAGCTGAACATGAAACTCATTCTTGACCTCGTCATCAACCACACGTCCGACCAGCACGCCTGGTTCCTCGAGTCACGCAAGGACAAGGCCAACCCCAAAGCCGACTGGTACATCTGGCGCGATCCCAGAATGGTCGATGGCGAACGCCACCCGCCCAACAACTGGGCCTCCATCTTCGGCGGGAGCGCGTGGGAATACGTGCGCGAGCGCGACCAGTATTACCTGCATCTGTTCGTCAAAGAGCAGCCCGATCTGAACTGGGAGAACGAGGAAACGCGGCAGGGTATCTACCAATCGGCCATCAAATTCTGGCTCGACAAAGGCCTCGACGGCTTCCGCGTCGACACGGCGAACATGTACTCCAAGGATACGAGCTACCCGGACGCGCCGGTCACTATCCCCGGCGAGCCCTACCAGCCCGCGTTCAAGTACTACCTCAACGGGCCACGCATGCACGAGTTCCTCCAGGAGCAGCGCGAGCAGGTCCTCGACAATTACGGCGACATTCTCATGGTCGGCGAGTTGCCCGGCACGGGCTTTGATGACGTGCTCCGGTACGTGTCGGCGGAATCGCGCGAGTATTCTTGCGTGTTCGATTTCGATGTCGTGACGCTGGGCACGCACAAGGACGGCGCGGGGAAGAAGCACCACACCTATCGGCACACGCTGCCGCAGTTCAAGGACGCGATCCGCAAGGTCCAGGACATGTTACGGGGCACGGATGCGTGGACGACGGTGTTCCTGGAGAACCACGACCAGGGCCGGAGTTTGTCGAGGTTTGCAACGGATCGGCCTGAGCACCGCGACACGGCGGCCAAGATGCTGGCCATCCTGATGTGTTCGCTGACGGGCACCATGTTCTTGTACCAGGGCCAGGAGATCGGCATGTATAACCACCCCGAGCACTGGGACATCGAGGATCTCAGAGACATTGACTCTCTGAACGCGTACAATGACGTGATGCACCGGCACAAGGGCGATGCGCTGTGGCTGAAGAAGGCCATGAAAGGCCTGCAGATGGTCGGCAGGGACAATGCGAGGTTGCCCGTGCAATGGGACGGAAGCGCGAACGCGGGCTTCACCACGGGCAAGCCCTGGATCAGGGTGCATGATGACTATGAGCGTGTCAACGTGGCGAGGCAATTGGAGGATGACAAGTCGGTGCTGACGTTCTGGAAGAAGATGATCAAGCTGCGCAAGGAGTATGCCGAGGTCATGATATTCGGGCGCGATTTCGACGTCTGGGATCCATTCGATCAGGATGTCTTTACGTTTACCAAGCTGCATCCCGACAAGAACGAAAAGATGCTGGTGTTTTTGAACTTCTCGGACCAGGAGCAGCCGTTGCATTATCCGACGGGCTTGGAGAAGGTGAAGAAGGAGCTGGTCGTGAGTAATGTGGATGAGCCGAGGAAGTATCTTGCCCCTTGGGAGGGGAGGGTGTATTTGATCAGGGAGAGTGTGGTCAATGGTGCCTGATATGGAGGATTGGTTTTGTTACTGCAAGGCTGAGACCCCAGCGGGAAAGAGAGAAAGAGAGCATATATGATTAATCAGAGCGGCTGTTGATTGTTCAGGCGGAGTTACAGGATATGTTACACTCTCGGGTCTATATACATATTATTATACAACAGCAGTGGTATATTGCATGAAGAGCAGAGATGTCCTCCGCCATTCAGCATGTGTTCGTTCTTCCGTAGATTCATTGCCGGGGCAGGCCTCGAACAGTACGGCGCCACGATTCCTGTCCTGGAGGTGATCGTCCTTCCGAGGAGAGTCTCGTACACGATGAACACATCTGCGCGCATCCGCGCCTATACTGGACCCGGGGAAGGCAGTCGTCTTTGACGGTTGGAGGACTGAAGTAATGCCGCTTCATATACCATCTTTAGTCTGACGCGGGAGATAGGACTTCCAGCTTTCTAAATCGCAGCCTGATGCTGGGGACGCTGTCGAGGCTGTCTGCTCGCCTGATGTCTGGTGAAAACTGGCCATCACAGCCATCTGGGGATGGTTTCAATCGTCATCATCCCGGCGAGACCGTACGTCTCCAGCGTTCTCGTTTTTCCCTTCTGATTTATGAAACACGCCAACCAAGGGTTTATGCTTGGTTTCAGCGCCATCTTCCCAAAATTCCAGATCTTCTTCACCTTCATTGCCAATCAAAGAACCGGGTCGAATACCCAGTCTTCCCTTCTTTAGCAGTTTTGTGAAATCTTGGCCTTCTTCCGCCTTCTCTCGGAGAATGTCTTCCAATGTCTTGCCCTTGTCCAAAAATACCTTCAAGTGATCTGCTATGACGTGGCGGGATTTGCAGGAAGGGCAAGTGACGAGGACGGTGCCGTAGTGATAACCTTGCTTGGTGATTCGGTGCCTTGAACGGTGTAGACATGGCTTGCAAGTGAAGCTCAGATGATAGGAAGGTACATCGTCGCCTGATTCCGGTGTTTTGGGTTGTCCTTCGGGGACTGTCAATGATGAATTGTGACGTTGGAACGGAACGGAAGGGTAGCGTGGCAAGGGATGTTGTCGAAGGGCAAATGAAGGCCGTGACAGTGATGACTGTAGGGAGATAGGATGTTTGATGGTGTTTGGTATTGAGCGCAAGGCAACAAGCCGTCGCGCTGATGAGGAGAGTGGTTGCATGACTGGTGTAGAGTATCAGGAACAGAATGATTGCTTACAGGAACTTTTTGTATAGCGCAGCTCAGCCTCGTCTCGCCGGCAGCCTTATCCAAGCTTGTCCCATGATGGAGACTCTTGGCGGCTTATTAAGCAAAAGTAAATCCGCTGGGAGGTCACGTGAGCGCTCGCCAGACCCTGCCGCTTTTATTGTCTCGCGACTTCCTGTACCTTCTTCTCGCGCCTCACGACTTGTCCACTTCAACTTATCTACGTCATGACAATTTTGTTTCTATTATGGCTCCTTTATCCTAGACAGAGAGATAGGTTTATGAGCTGCCCAAGAGGACTCTGCTTATCCTCTTCAGCCCCAAATCAGGTGGTATAGCCTTGAGAGAGTTCCGTCATAATGTCTGATGAGTACCGTGCAAAATTGTCCAACATCAATTCGTCAGGCATAGCAGTCGCCCAGGCCTCGTGATTGATTGGGAGCCTGCCCTTGGAGCCCGTGGGTGCTGACCAGTCCGCAGTCTCCCCACTGATCCAGGAATCAATCAGGGGTACCGCAACCTCATGAAACGGCCATATGTTCTCCAACGGAGGTCCTCCGGGGTCGGTGGGACAACTGAAGGGTTGCTCCTGGTCTTCTAAAACGGTGCTCGTGTCGGTACCACCTGGGAATCTTGACTCATGCGGAGGAGGCTGATGATTGCTCGGCTGCGACACCTGCTCCCTGCCTGCTGACGCTGCGATCTCCTGCTGCCGCACTCTCAGGCGGTCTCCAGCGAATCTAAGTTCTGCAGGAGAGCCACCGGGGTGCCCCAGTATTGATTGAATCGCATATAGGCATCGCGCAGCACGGTATATTTGCGTTGTGTCGTGATGGGGTTGTGTCGCACACGGCAATCCTTTTGAAGATCTGTAGAGCAGCCGCAATCCATATAGTGCTGGCATAATACGGGCTGACCTATCTGACATGATCCTTGGGACAGTTTTCGAGCATTTCGAGCACCGCCTCGCTGATGTCCAAGAAGGGCTTCAAAAAAGAGTCGGGCGTCAAAGCGGTCGGTGTTGGTGCACCGCTCGACCAGTACAGATCGGGAGATACGGCAGAATATATCACCACTATAGTGCAGCTTGCCCTTGGCACTCTACTTGCTTCACCGTGCACCTTATGCAGGCACTGTGGTAGGCTAAGCGGTCCGGCCTCCACCTTTGCAGAGAAAGGCAGGTACGCCGAATTTCTTCAACCGCCTGGTACCTGCATGGCAGTGAAGTCGGGCAACAGAACTTTCCTTCATTCCAATTTACCAAGCAGTGATGAATTGAACATTGCGCTCGCCTTCCTCCCGCCTTCCTCTTGCCTGTCACTCGACCCTCTCTCGAACGTCCTACATACCTGTTCATCTACCTCAACCCACTTGCCCGGTCTTCCCCACACTTCTGACCCAAGCAGGCCTTCCACCACAAGTCTGCTGCGGGCAACACGTCGTAGCCACGATGTTGGCGAGAGGGAGAGCTGGAAAGATAAGAGCTCCAAGAAGAGTATGTGAACGAGCCCAGGCTTCGCAAAAAAACACTGAGGTGCGGCAGGCTACTTCGAGCGGCTCTGTCTTGAATCTGCCGCATCTCATTCTACCGCCACATGTTTCTGCCTATACCTTCTTTTGACACGTTCAAAGCTTTGTAGTCTCCAGGCACTGCTCAATATTGTTCATGTACGCCCGCTAACATGCATCCGCGACAGGGTCTGACGCCGGGCGACGTCGATTTCGACTCAACATGGAACTCCATCTCTACCGCTTTCCTTCAGATTTTCAGTAAAAGTGCCTCCGGTTTATCCTTCGAAGAAATTTTCCGAAACTGCTACAAATTGGTGTTGAAGAAGAAGGCGGACATGTTGTATGATCGGTTGACACTACTGGAGCAAACATGGCTGCGCGACAATGTCCGGGCAAAGATGTTATCACTAATAAACCCCTCAATCACCGTTGGCACCCTGGACCAGACAGGTGGAGCAGATTCCAATGAGCGGAGAATTGCGGGCGAGCGCTTTGCTCGAATCTTGAAGGATGCCTTTACCCACCATCAACTGTCTATGGGCATGATCACCGATGTGATGATGTACATGGACCGCTATATTGCCCAGGACCAGAGAAGGCCATCCATCTTCACTACAGGTATGGCACTATTCCGAAGCGAAGTCCTCAAAACCCGAATCAGCGAAGACGCCCCTGTGGACATTCTCTCGTTGCTCGAAACGGTCCTCCTCGATATGATAAGAATGGAACGCAAAGGCGAAGTCATCGATCGAGCTCTGGTTCGCCAGTGTTGCTACATGCTAGAAGGGCTGTACGAGTCTTTTACCGAAGACGAATCTACGAAGCTGTATCTGACGTCGTTCGAGCCCAAATTTATCGAAGCGAGCAGACAGTTCTACAAAGCGGAGGGTCAAGCACTTCTGGGCGAGGCTGATGCGAGTACATACTGCACGCATGCAAGAAGAAGACTGGCTGAAGAGGAAGAGAGATGCAAACAGACAATATCGCAAGTCAGCGACCACAAAATCAAGGCGGTGGTAGAGAAGGAGTTAATCTCGGCGCATATCCGAGAGGTTATCAACATGGAAGGGACTGGTGTCAAGAACATGCTGGACCATGACAAAATCCAAGATCTGGCCAACGTGTACGACCTCATTGCGAGAGTGGACACGAGGAGAGGTGCTCTGAGAGACGCCCTTCAGAAACGAGTCGTCGAACTTGGTACGGAAATCAACAAGGCTGCCAGCGTTATCAGCGAAGCTGCGCCGGCACCAAAGTCGGCACAAAAACCCACCGATGGAAAGGCCGCGCCGGAGAGAACACTCAGCCAACAAACTCAGGCCGCTATCACCTGGGTCGAGCAGATCTTGGAGCTGAGGAACAAATACGACAGAATCTGGACCGAGGCTTTTCACAAGGATGTCGTCATGGAAAAGGCGCTCGAGATCTCGTTCCAGGACTTTATCAATGCGAATGATCGGAGCCCGGAGCACCTGTCTTTGTTCCTTGATGAGCATCTCAAGCGAGGAGGGAAGGACAAGACCGAAGCCGAGATTGATGTACTCCTTGACAATGGCATCTTGTTACTTCAGTACCTCGCCAACAAGGATGTATTCGAGACCTACTACAACAAACACATGGCCAAGCGCTTGTTGATGAAGAAGTCTGTTAGCCGGGAGATGGAACGACAAATGCTTTCCAAGATGAAGATGAAGATCGGAAATCAATTCACCCAGAAGTTGGAGGGTCTGATTCGAGATACAGAGCTGTCCGACAGTCTTAGTGCTCAGTACAAGGATCATGTCGACAAACTCGGCGATCCAGATCCCAAGCGAGTCGAATTGGACTGCCGAGTTTTGACTACAACAATCTGGCCATTCGAGACTATTCTCAAAGCTGATGGTGGCGATAAGAACAGACGGCCTGAAATCAAATACCCAGCCACAGTGGAGCAAGTTCGACAGAGATTCCAGAAATTCTATCTGGACAAGCATACCGGGCGAAAGCTGGAATGGGTCTCCAATCTTGGAGATGCTGATTTGAGAGCCACATTCACCAACAATGGCAAGACTCGACGATATGAGCTCAATGTTTCGACACATGGCATGGTCATTCTCACGCTGTTCAATGATCTCCCTCCTGGAGCATCCCTTAGCTGCGAGCAGATCGAGGCCGAGACTAACATCCCCAAGCCTGAGCTGATTCGAAACTTGCAGTCCTTGTCCTTGGTCCCGAAATGGAGAGTCCTCAAGAAAGAGCCAATGAGCAGAGACATTCAATCCACCGATAGGTTCTATTTCAACGAAGGATTTTCGAGTCAGTTTCTCAAGATCAAAGTCAATGTGGTCTCGGGCGGCGGGAACAGAGTCGAAAATAGCGAGGAACGACGTGCAACACAGAAGAGAACCGATGACGAGCGCGGACATGTCATTGAGGCAGCCATCGTTCGGATCATGAAGTCGCGAAAAAATCTATCGCATGGACAATTGATGACTGAGACCCTTGCACAGTTATCTTCTCGATTCCAGCCGGATGTCAATATGATCAAGAAGAAAATCGAGGCGCTGATCGACCGGGAGTATTTGGAGAGGGGTCCAGATCCTGCGAAGCCTTCTTATGTTTACTTGGCTTGAGTGGTGATATTAGGGAGTTCTTGGCCGCCTGCTTTCGGCACGGATGGGATGCTCCAGGAATGATCTTATGATGACAATTGTGTTAACGACCGAGCATCGACCATGCAACCCACGGGCATGATGGGTCCAGGACGAACATTAGCGCGGCGTAACGGGATGTGCATTTGCTGAATCAATGCATCGGCTGGGGTTGAGATACATGGCTGAGACTCTGGATTTGAAGGCCATGTTAGTCAAGCCAGAGTAGAAATCATAGCATACAATGAAGACTCGAAGCCAATAATAAAACTAGGGAAGGGCTTCTAAGACAGCATTGTCCGACAAGAAATGAATCTTTCAAATTGCTCGCTTAGAGGTTGCTAATACCTCGATGGTGTCGAGGCTCGAGGCTGTGAATTCCGCTCCGATGCCAAGAACACGGCAACCTCCCTTTCTCGACGCGCCCGTGTTCAATATGTGGTAAACGGCTTACCACACGGAGTTTGATTGACTCGACACAGCTCATTTGCATCTGGCTAGACGTTTACGATTTAGAAAAGATACTCAGAAACCGGTTCTCATCAATAGGCCGCCTGGGGTGCTCACATGGTGGTCCTTCTTTGACGCGTCCTGACCACTGTGCCACTCAGCCTTCGGCGCTTGCCCAGACGGACCGTGATACTTATTCCGCGGACAGACAACCCAGACGAAGACGAATAATCTGACTGCTTCTCGAGGGTCTTTGACAATTTAATGCGTCTCACAAACCAAATCTAGCCTGCCACAAGAACCTGAGCAGTTGAGTTTCAGTCTCAACCCCCTACGTTGAGAAAAAAAACCCCCCCAGCCCCCAAAACCATGGATCTGGACATCTCCGACATCCTCGCGGACGTCTCACGATCCGCCCACCACCTCTCTCAATCTTCATATCCGCATTCTGGCCATGCCGCCGACACAGACACAGATATATTCACCGACCACCAACTCCTGACGCGGGCGTGGACGTCGGAACGCTGCGCGCCCGACCTGCTGCCGTATCCGACGGAATTAATGGAGCGGGTGATGAGCCGGGTCCAGGCCCAGATCGCGAGGATCGAGGACCTGGCGTCTGGGATGGGCGAGGGCGAGGTTGCTGCTGGTGGTGGCAGAGACAGAGGTGCCGCGGGAGGAGGAGGGACGCAGAATGCGAACCTCGTCTTGAGCATTTTACAAACGGACCTGAGTCGGACGCAGTTCCTTGTGCGGAGTTTCTTGCGGCAGAGACTTGCCAAGATGACCAAGTACGCCATGTGGTATCTTGGACAGAACGAGGATCGGAAGACTGCGTATCTGAGCGTGGCCGAGGCACGGTTTCTACGGAACCATCAGGCTTTGTTGAGCGAGTTTTACGATGTGAGCTTTTTGAGTGCGTTCCCGGCCGGATTGAGACGATTGGATGATACGAGTGGTGGTGTGAGGATGGTGGAGGGCCCGGATTCGGGGGCCGCGGTCGTGGTGAGGTGTTTGAGTGAGATGTGGGCGAATGCGGAGGATGTGGAACGAGGAGTGGAGGAGAGGGAGAGTCAGAGGGATGATGCTGAAGGAGGTGCAGCGAGTGTAGAGTTGAGGATGAGGGGAGGACAGGTGTGGGTTGTGAGGTGGAGGGATGTGAGGGCGGGTGTGGAACGGGGGAACTTGGAACTGTTATAGCAGACCGAGAAGAGAGGATGAGAGGGATGGGATCAAGGATTGAGTATGTATGCCATTGGTGCGGCTTTCACGGGGATGCTCGTGATGAGAGAGAGCTGGCCATGGGAATGTACCTCGCCCGAGGTACAGGTCTGGCAAGGCTTCGCTTCATGGTGCATGGATTGCTTTTGAGCACGCACTAGGATCACGATTGAACGAACGGGACTCTGTTGTCTTTACTGATGACAATGTGGTATACCACGCTTCACTACCGTAGATGAAGACTTTTACTACCTGGGTTAAATGATCGTGGCCATTCACGTCCGACGTACTCGTCCACTTCCATCTCAGCTTCTGGCTGGCCTGCGATGTGCTGCAAAAGCAAGCCCTCGCCTTTGGTGTATGTGACTCATACCAAGCTACTCCGTAGTTGACTCGTGTCTGTCTGAGTTACTGCTTCCTCACCAGCTCATCCAATCTCCCCTGCTCCCCTCTCTTAAGCAACCACCTCAGTTCGTCCCTAGCCTCATCGTCAGGCAGCGCATCAATCATGCCCTCGGCCGTGAGGAAGTCGTGATCCGAGAATTCAAAGCCCGGCACGACCGTCTCGCTGATCAAAAGGCCCCTTGCACTTCCAGCACCAATACCACTCCCATCATCACTGACAGGGTCAGTCATACCGCCCATTTCTTCCGGGCTCACCTCGACATCATCACCGTCACCGCCACTGTCAGGCAACAAAAACGAAGCCTTGAATTTGCCGCCCTCGACGATCCACTGCACCCGCTCGCCGCGCTCAATGTCCTGACCCACCACGAACGTCTCGACCGGCACACGACCAGTCTGTTCGTCGCGCTGGTCGACGTGCAGAAGCACATACCGGCCCCGGCCCCGGTGCAAAGTGTGCACGGTGCGTCCGCGGTTGCGGTGGAAGTAACCCACGGGACTCTTGGGTGTGAGCAAGTAGTAGATGGTCGTGCTGGCGTGGCGCGTCGTGCTGGTATCTTTGCTCGTGGCGTTGGCGAGTAAAGGTAAATTCTGAAATGGGTTGGGTACGAGGAGTTTGTCGCGGTCCGTCTCGACAAAGTACCCGCCCTCGATGTGTGGTTGGAGGTTGAGCGTCGTGATGGTCGATCTGATGGGTGCTGGTTCGGATTGGGGTGGATGCGCGAGGAGGGATTGGGCGTAGACCGGGTCTGTGGGTGGGATGATTGGGGGCATGGTGTTGTATGAATGAGGTGAGGTTCGATCTATAAGGTGCGGACGCGGACGGATATTGGATGTACGAGTCCGTGTACAGAGTATTTGAAAGCACTCGGTTTGGTCGAGGGAGGAGGTGCTCCGTACCTTACGGAGGGCGGATATATTGGGATGTAAGCTTCCCACTGTGAGGTGCCCACCTCACTCAACAAAGCTACAGCACGTGCGAATATTGCTGGCGGCGTGGATATTGGATGATGGTGTGATAGAGGATAGGTTCCTCTCCGAGGTACAGGATCTTACGGGGAATGGGATCGTATTAAGTACTTCTCTCAAGTGTCTACCGTTACCGCAACATTTTAGAGGAGGAGGATCATCATGTTGACGTTTCATGCTTATCTAAGCCTTTGGCTACAAACGGTACGCCTGATGGCCTTAACAATTTACAGACACAATGGATCCCGATGATGATAGATCAATTCTGCTACGTCGACATGAGTTCAGCTTGCCGATGATGTTGACCTCCGCCATATAACCACCGCAGCAGCGCCGGCGCAGACGACCGCCGCCAGCACCAAACCATACCTCATCAACTGACCATTATCGTCGTCATCCAGTGGACGTGGACACGCAGTGACGGGATCGAGTCCGGCTTCTGAGATGACCACGAACAAGTCCTGAATCGATGGCCACGTCACACTGGTAGATATGGGCGGACCCTGAGGCATGCGTTGTATTTGAGCGGTGTATTCTTCAGGCTGATGGTCAACTCTTTGCGTGGTTCGGTCGAGGTCCGCCTTCAAAGCCACGTACACTGAAGGTAGGTCTTCAAGATAAGGATAAGTCTTTCGCATGTTCGGAATATATGCGAATGAGTCTGGATCTGAAGAGTCGTACGTGTAGACAATGACATCGCACTGGTCTAGCAACTTGCTCTTGTTGTCGAGGACAGCTGCTTCTGACTCGCCTAGCTCCTTCAGAATGAGATAGCACTGCCGGCCTCCGGGCAACTCCACTGTGTTGACGGCTACTCGTGGCTGAATGGTCGGATGATAGAGGTTGTTGAACGGTCGGGCAAGAAATGCATCGAGCAGAGCTGATTTGCCTGACTGTGGAGCACCTAAAACATGTGCAAGCAGGACGTTTCGTCCTACCCGTCCAGGCCTCTTTCTTCTCTTGCGAGGCTTCGTCAGTTTCAGGGCAGCAGTAGTGCTGGAATTGGATCGGTCGGGCGACTCGAAGCCGAGATATGCGAGGTATTCCAAGGTCGTTTTGGGTGACATGAAGGTCGTCATGGACCATTGCGCTAGCCAGCCTTGTAACGTAACGTGGCCGGCATCGTTGCGTACAGTGCAAGAAGGAAAGTTGTTATCGATCCAGAGCTGCGGAATTCCTGGTGTTGGTGCAAACAGTGATGCAAGTTCTTCATCCTTGAGACCACCGTCGTTATCGCGGTCAGAAGTGAGAAACAGGTCGACCAGAAATCGATAACCAGCTGGGGAGAGCTCGGCTGAGGCATATTCGGGCACTTCAAACTTTGGGTGGAGGAACGATTCTTGCAAAGACAAGCTGTCAGTATATTGGAACGTCCTGAGGATGACCCATATCGTCTCGTGTCGGCCTTTCTCTGCATACAGCTTGTTCAGAAGTAGGAAGCCTTGCGAGGTGATACCTCGACTCGAAGCTGCCCCAGGGATGTTATGCTCGATCGTGTCCTTGATGTGCTGCAAATCCTCCGGGTTCAAGTTCTTGTCAAAACATTTGAGCTGGAAATCCTGCACCTCCTTGTCATTCAATAACCCATCCTTGTCCTTGTCGCACAGGTAGAAGATGCGAAGCAGAGCCGCTACAGCAGCCGGTTTCAGAGCCGACTCTTTTGCATCAAACAAGGGTGCGATCGGATGTGTCACAGCTTTCTGGCACAAGAAGAAAGCTTCGTTGACATTGTAATGCTCACGAGCACTGGTCCGTATGCATTGATCAATCTCCTTGAACTCTGACATGACAGGTAACATCTCTTCTTCCATTATCTGAGCAGGTGTACTGCTTGTGACCAGATCCGACTTGTTTGCGCATAGTATGACGGGTAGATTGACGCCCAGGGAACGGAAGTATGGCAACCAGAACAGAGCAACTCTTTCATAGCTATAGTGATCGGAGTAGACCAGCAGAATGACATTGGACTTTCTCAGCTCGCGAGCCAGGTTCGCCCGGTCCTGAGGAAGGGCAGAGGTATCGACGATCGTGGTTGTGACATTTTCGGGAGTTCCCAGGGTGGGAGGAATAGTAATTTGAGGAAGAACAGCTTGGATTCTGTTGCTGATGAAGGTATCTTTGACCAGGGAAGTGATAAGACTGGACTTACCACAACCCTCGTCACCGCAGACGCATATTCTGACGGTGGCCATTGAAGGTACGTCGACGATGGGAATCTAGGATACGGAGACTCATGCTTTCGGCAGCCTGGTCACGGAGCCATCAATTCGAAAAGCGTGCGACTCACCACCAGGAAAGTAGATGTGAATGGTTTGTAAGGGCCCAACTCTGGATGATGAGCATAAGAAATGTTGTTGTCACGAACAGACGCAGATGTCACTGCGATGCTACAAACACCAGATCATTCCCACCGAAGATCAACCGACAATAGCGAGTTCAATGGCCTCGATGGTATCTGTATATCGTGTATCTATTCATTTTCTTACATCTCCCACATCTCTCTAGGTGTCCCGTGTATCTCAGGTATCCTATCACTGAACCTCATAACTTGACCTCCCTCGGCATCCCAATCTGTCCACTCTTCCATCCCTGCTCTCTCCATCTCTTTCCCCAGATGCCATTCCTGCCAGGACTCAAGATGCCATTGGGGTCCAACGCGTCTTTGATAGTCTCGTTGAACCGTCCAAGTGCGCCGTTGCCCCATTTGTAGGTCCCCGCCACCTGATCCATGTACAGTAAATGCGTTCGGTATTCCCCATATCCCTTCCTCGCTCCTTCGTCGATTAGTTCTCTCATCAAACAGGCAGCACGCCGTTTGCTGTCGGCGTCTTCTCGGTCGAAGACGATTTCAGCAATGAAGTGCATTTCCCGACCAGCGACGCATATCGTGCTGAAAGAGTCAAACCCCCATTTGGCATAGAGCCGTTCGGCGATGATCATCATTGTCCGAGCATGTTTGCCCGTGGTCGGAAGGATAGGACTGCAAGCGATATGTCCACCATTGGGGAGCCAGTTGAGCCAGTCAAGTTCTTTTAGTACAGGTTCTCCTTTGTTGACCTTGGCTCGTTCATGGATGTAATGGTCAGCTGGCAGATCGGAAGGAAGGTAGAACTTGGAGCCCTCGACTTTGGCAAACGTCGACTTGATGAGGTCAAGCTGCGATTGAATAGTCGCTGCATCGCCATATTGGCAACCATAGAAGATCCAGCTCACGTCACCACAAGGAAGTTTGGCTGCCTCACGAGCAATGACCGATCGTGGCATCCGTCCACCTTTGTTGCTTCCTTCAGGCCAGAAGTGACTTCGTGGCTTTCCGGTTACCGCCAGTTCCTGGACGACATGTCTGAGCTGTGGGACATTCCCAAAGACGCGGCTTGCAGCCAAGGGTCCAATCAGGTCAACGATCTGCTCAAAGTCATCCTCGCGAGGGAAGGTAATCAAGTACGATTGGTTTCCGGTGGCGGGCATAAGCCAGAAACCCATCTTGGTTACGATGCCATAGTTCGATTGACTGAAAATGCCGTCGATGGCGGGACCATAGGCGTTTTGAAAGGATTGCCAGGTCAAATTATCGGTGTCATCCTCTCCCGGTAATGCGCCCATACCAGTCCGAAGGAGGGTGCCGTCGGGAAGAACGACTTCCATACCACAATGCATGCCGAAATGATCGCCATATGGGGTATAACCAACACCTCGATCAAGCGCATTGCCCATGACACTGCCACCACCTAGATCTGGGCAGTCGATCCAAAGGTTGTGGCCGCTCTTTTTAACGGCTTCATAAAGTGCAAAGTATGAAACACCAGGCTCCAACAGACACGAGCAATTTTGCCCGTCAATCTGGAGGACTTTGTTCATGCGCTTTCCAAGATCAATGACAACGGACCCAGAGACCCGCGGCGCAGCACCTCCATAGCCCAGGTTTCGGCCCATAGAAATTGGATGAACGGGTATCAGGAATTGATTGGCCCATTGCACAATTGCTTGAACCTCTTCGGTGGTCGAAGGGTATACTACCGCACTGGCAACGAGTGCGTCTTGGTTGGCGACATGATTGCTGTCGTGGGTGTTCCTTACTAAAGGTCAGTCCAGCTACCACAGTACAGATGGAAATGCTTCCAGAGCGGACTCACGGATGTTCCATGTACCATCCGTCGACCAGAGCTCCATCGTTGACATACACCCATTGGTCGCCAACAACAGACTTCAATTTGGAGATAGCTTCATCGAACTTCTCTTGCGTGGTGTACGGTGGCAATTGTACTCCTCGGCCGCGGGCGTACGTGGTCTCGCTCTTGGTCCGCCGTGAAAAGAGTAGCCCTTTGGCTCTTTTTGCTTGATCCACCAACCTACTGGGGATACCGCTATGCGATTCCTCCAGGGTTGGAGTGGCAGTTAATGTTCGGCCGGACATCTTAGTAGTAACGAGCGACAGATGAAAGCCGACACGAGAGGAATACAGGACCTTGAAGATATGCTTGCCAAAAGGTCAAGAGGTATATCCCCCGAGCACTACCCCACGTCCGGAAATAATCCATCTTCAAGGGTCTCTGGGGCATGTCCAGTACGGACCAGGTCTGTTCTTCGCGCCATGAGCCCCACACCGCAGGTCCAGAAGAGGCTGTGAAGGCCATTCCAATGTGGCGGGGCTGGCTTTGCTGTGCGAGTCTTTGAGGAAACTTCACGATGCTTACAATGGACGCTAAAAGGTGAGAAGAGCTTAGTAAGTAGCATGAGCGAAACGAGTTGAACGAATCTCAAGACCTGTAGGCAAATACGGTGACGAGCAAGACGTTCCTCTTGCCTACCTGGTACGGAGTATGGGATTCACCTTTCCCTCGGGCAGAGGGAAATTAATTCGTGTCGGCTCAATCAAAGAAATGGACCAAAGCACGACAGAACATTCACGACCGTAGCACTGGCTGCAGCTCGACCTTTTCGTTCTTGGAGGGGATCACAAATCAGCTCAATGTTGCATGGTGCTTGGAGGCATTGAGGTCTCACCGAAAGTACGTGAGGTCAATACGATGATATATGGGGGATTGAACTCCAGACACCGTTTGGGCCATGACTGTTGTCCCTGCTCCTACGAAAGTTCCTCAAATGCTCTGAGTAATCCGCTCCTCCTTCGAATGCCCGACAGGACCATCTGCCACCCCATCCCGACGCAACCTCAAGCCCCTGTTCCATTGGATTCGATACGAAGAAAGCCGATTCTTGTGCAAAAAGTGACTGCGAAGAGCATCGGTGCCCATCAGCAGAAACCAGATCCCGCCGAGGACGCCCATGATGACAAAATTGCGCACGAGCGAGTGCGCTTTTACTACCTGCCCAATACCGACGAGCTGGAATCCCAGACCTGAATTGATCCAGCCGAGACAAATCATGACACGTCCGGTCCATCGATGAACGTATGCAAACGCGCTCTTGCCTCCCGTCTTCTTGAAGTGGCCATGCTGAAGCAGGCCCATTGCCGGCTGGATGGCGATGATGGTGGACGTCACGAGCAGGCCGATGACGACGTGCGCCTTGATTTGGCCATGGCTGAAATAGTTGAGGTCGTTTTTGGCGATGTCGATGCCCAGACCCATGGCACCGATCATCATGGCTAGACCCAGGATCTGGATGGGCGCGTGGATGCGACTGGTCACACGGACGCCCTTGAGTGGGAGGTGCTGGGATATGGCGCCGAGCGGGAACAGGACGATGAAGACAATGGACATGATGCAGGCGTGCGCATTGCGTTTGCGGTGGAAGATCTTGTAGCTGTCTTGGAAATATGCTCGTTTGTCGAGCGCATGGTCCGGTTGCGACTCGGGCTCGAGGGTCGCTGCTATAGTCAGGGCTGTGCGGTTTTGTCAGTCTGTGCCTCATAATTGAGCAATGCGATCAGGAGGGGACTCACTAGTGAATATGGCCAGCGCCATGGCTGCGCTTAGGTTGGACTTCATGTCTTATTCGCGACTAGTCGTGTGTTTTTCTAGAGACACAGACAGACAGAGAAAGAGGATGCTGTGGTACGTAGGATAGCGAAAGATGCTCGACGGATGAGAAGACGCGTGGGATTTTTCTTGCTCACCGGGACTGTATTTATATCGCCAGATATGACAGTCACAACAAGGAACTTGACCGACTCCGGTGATTCTCGGATTACGTATTGACGATGATGCTTGAGCTCACTCACATAGACAGTTTTCCGGACAGCAAGGCCTCCGTGGATCGTGGACGAAACAATTGCGCGAGTGACCAACTGCGTGACTTGGCAGGAATGCGCGACAGCCAATGTTGTTGTGCCGCTTAGTGACCGTGGCATCGAGAGGGTGGTCAGGGCGTGTTTCATGCTTCGTATCACTGGAAGATTCTGTGAGGCGAAATTCGAAGTTCTAAAATAGAAACCGACGAGGCTGACGGGAAATGCCGCGGGATGCGTTGGGGAAGATTTACGAGGGCCTTCGTATACAATTACAAGTACAACCATTGCGTCATCCGACTCGTCGACGATGTTATACCAGACTCGCCGAACATTCAATTTCGATATTCTACTTAACAGATGCGGTTCGTGCATGACCTTCGGCGACGTGCAGCATGTAGTATGGTAGCCACCTGATACAAGGCCACGAGGACGTCCCGTGAGGAGGTAGCGAGGGCACCTAGGTAGGTAAGGTAGGTACCTTATGGTAAGGGAAGTACCATGCATTCGAGAGCATGACAAGAGTGTTCAGAAGACGCAAGACAGTAAAAGCGATGAGGTGGACAGATGTGCCAGATCTACGCGCCTTCCTCGAGGTCAAGGTGAGTGTGAAATGAGCTTCAACTCAACTCATCTCATCTCAGCGTAAGTTCATTCGAACTTCATTCTTCTCCATCAAGCAGCCTCACTCGCTCCGGTGTTGTCTTCATCATTCACGTCAACTTCCACTCTCTGCGTCTCGAGCGTGTCAGCCAGCCAGGTCCTCCAGTCTTTCCCGTCTTCTGACTTGACGGACGCTTGTCGCCAGCTCCGATCCTTACTTTCACTCACTTGACTTCGTCTCAATTGTTGCTCACTCGGAAAGACATTACCCGCCGCTTATCCATCCCCCCCTCGTAACCCGATCGTACACAGAGCATACTTCAAACTACTGAGATCCCCCTTCGAGCAGATTCATTGCGACGACCCTTAAGTCCACACAATGGGTAAGAGACGGTACTACGAGTTTCAGGAAGAGTCGGATGATGGTTCAGAAGACTCGGAGTCCGACTTCTGGGATGAACTCGTCCACCTCCCGGACTACCAAGTCGAAAACCCAAGCAAGCAGATGTTCCGCGTCATCGCCTCGTACCCCTCGGGCCATGAATACAACGGAGACAATCACCAACCCAGGCCGGACAGTGACGATACACTGGAGGCGAGATACCCAGGCGAAGCAGAGACTTGGGGCAATGTGTGGGAGCATTTCTGGTGGAAAAGACACCCTACACCCTTCATCTCGTTCTTCAACAACTTCGAGACGGCGATTCGGTGGAAAGATCAATTTATTCGAAAAGGTGCCGACGAAGTCCACATCTTCTGCTATAACACCAAGTATGTGGGAGATCTTCTGGACGCACATGAATTGGCCCAAGAAATCGAACGCGAGCGATCGATCAGGCTAGGCAACAGACATCAATATGAGTATCTTGTCTGTCATATGATTGACGGACGTCATTGTGCTGGGGCTTATGTCTTCACCGAGTGAAAGAGTCAAATGAATAGCTCTGCGCCCGAAAATGGAAACAAGATCAATGTCTTGAGTGCCGTACACTTTTCGCAGGACTGTGGAATCAAAACAATGTCCACTTAGATGGATGAGACCAAGAGAAATTGTGGAACAGGACAATTTGGTGGCAATGTTGTGATGAGTAAATGAGGACCGGAGGGAACGAGTATTTCAAGAAAAGAAACACGAAAAAGGTTCACGGGACTGACCTGCCCAATCTGAATCATGACCTCACCTGCTGCTGCTGAAAGTCTTCAATCTGCGGCAGCAGAAATTCCATGACTGTAGAGGACATCTTACTCGAGTCATGTGCGACACCGGGCACAACGTCGAACCTCGCCTCAATACCACGGTCCTTCCACGAGTCTCGCAACTTGGTCAAACCATCCAGCCTTCCCTCCTTCATTCCACCTAGACTCGGATCGAGAGCAGCCTGCTGATCTGCAGCGCCGCTTTCGCGCATCTTCGCCTTGAATTGCTCAAGGAAGCCCATAAACTCCTCGCCGCCGTGAATGAAGTTATCCTCGCTCCCAACGAGGAGTTGAATACCCTTGACCGCGCGGATCGCATCGATGTCGATCTTCGTCCCGTCTCCGAAGATTGTTTCGAGATTACCGATGCCCCTTGGCCACGGTTCATTCTCGTCGAGGAAGGTGGGTCGACCTGGCGCACCGATCGACACGGCGTGAAGACGCGATGGGTGAATATACAGCATACGCAGGACGAATTGGCCGCCGCCGGAGTAGCCTGTCAGGAAGAAGCGCGAAGTGGATATACCGGGCCAGATCTGAGCGATTTCGTCGTCAATGATGGAGAGGAGGATCCGGTCGGAGTTGAAGGTGGGAGTGCGCAGGAGTTTGTAGCTGTCTAGATCGAGTGCGGAAGTGATTCCAGCAGGGAAGAAAGGGGCCAGGACGGCGACGTGGTGTTTGTCGGCGAACTCCCTAAGGCGGTCTCGGCAGGCTTCGGCGTCGCGGCTTGTGCCGTGGATTGTGACGACTAGGGGGAGGCGAGGCAGATTGTATGGTGGTTCCTGCGAGGAGCGTGACGGGTCTGGATTATATGCGTGAGAAGGGATGTAGAGCGTGTAGGAGACGCTGGGGTGGGAGCGAGAGAGTCGGAAGGGGATCCTGCCGGTTAGGAAGGCTGATTGTAGGAATTTAGGGGGCACGAGGGCGGTGGAAATGGGGAAGGACGACATGTTGACTGAGACTGGATGAAGATGCTTGCTTGGATGTGTAGCTGTATCTGGGAAGTTGTACCTTCAGTCGTTGTATACGAGTGACAGGAGGCTTTTTGTAGTCCGCCCGTTATGAGCGGGAGCAGAAGAATAGTGCGAAACTCGGCCAGAGAGCGAGAATGGGGGCGATAAAATGGTCGAGCTTGCCTACCTTTGCCTGCTCTGAAGTCGCCTTGCGAGCAGAGTCGAGACAGTGTGGTAAAGAAGTGATAGTGCTGATGCTCAAGATCCGTGAATTTAGGACATGACTGGCCTGAACGGGCATTTTGATGCTTCTCTTTACCAGACCGGAGTTGTGTTTTGTTCTCGGCCACAGATTGCCCCGCTCATCCTCACGCTTCTTTCTGGGCCGAGGGGTGATCATTAGAACGCCTTTCGATCGGCTGCTGGGAGTATCTCTCAGTTCTGCATCGAACGGGCGGGCAGGGGTAGATCCAGATGACGAGGCCATCGAGAGAGGCGGAGGCGGAGTTACGAGAGAAAAGGAGAAAGAACAGTACGTGAGTGCGTAAGGTAAGGTAGGTCAGGTAGGTGAGTGGTGAGTGGTGAAGCTGCTTATCAAGGCGGCCAAGCAGCATTGCGCGTGGAAAAAGTGCCGCATGACGAAGTTGGTGCATCTTCTTCCTGCACCGCCCTCTACGCCCTACAGAGTCTACGTACCCCCAAAGTCTTGACATTCGCTCATTCACTTCTCCTGCTGCCTGTATATTTCATGGTTATCTTCTCTACCAGATCAGAAACGTTTTTACAACCTGTCTCAACATTGAACCCTTCCGCGCAGTCTTACCCCGGATTCAAGTCCCCTCGACCCCCACTGCTCATTGAGCCCGTCAGCTTCCGAGTTAAGACTTGATCAATTCCGCACAATACGAACCACTTCTGCCTGCGCAGGCTCATATTGGGAGCATAACGTTGGATTGAGAAGGAGGTCAGAGGCTCTCGAAATCATAAAACAAGATGCCTTTCGGTATCAATAATCCGTTGCCGGCGTCCATGAGAAGTAAGCGCAGTCTCGGTCATTCAGTCTTCACCTACTGACACTACCAGGCGAGTGCAAGAAAGCAGGCAAGATTCTAGCATCCTTCGTCGACCCTAGACAAAGCTTCGGCCCAGACAAAGTCATCCCTCCTCAGATCCTGGCAAACGCAAAGGTGTGGCTTTATCCAACTGCGACTAACACGAGTGCTGACTTTTCTAGGGTCTCGCAGTCATCACAGTCTTCAAAGCTGGGTTCCTTGGTTCTGGTCGATTGGGCTCCGGTATTGTTGTCGCACGATTAGCAGACGGCTCGTGGTCAGCTCCCTCGGCCATTGCCACCGCTGGTGGTGGGTTCGGGGGTCAGATCGGTTTCGAGCTGACAGATTTTGTCTTCATCCTCAACGATGCCGCCGCCGTTCGAACCTTTGCACAAGCCGCGTCGGTCACGCTCGGCGGGAACGTCAGTATCGCAGCTGGCCCGGTTGGTCGAAACGCGGAAGCAGCAGGTGCGGCCAGCTTGAAGGGAGTGGCCGGTGTCTTCTCCTACAGCAAGACAAAAGGACTGTTTGCAGGCGTCAGTCTGGAGGGGAGTGTGCTGATCGAAAGAAGAGATGCCAATGAGAAGATGTACGGCGGTCGGATCACCGCGAGACAACTACTTGAAGGCGCCATCAGACCTCCACCATCCGCCGACCCGTTAATGCGAGTCCTAAACACGCGAGTCTTCTCGGGCGCTGCATACCAGGAAGGAATGTATAATGACATGCCCATCTACGACGATCAACACGATGATGTGGTCTGGGAAGGGAGAAGAGGAGAAGCTTATGGAGCTAACGTCCGCAACAACCGATCATCAACTATTGGATCTCGAGATGGCGACAACTACGAATACCGCGATAACCCTCGTCGAGCAAACACCTGGGCGGATGATGTGTACGATAGGATGCCAGGACGAAACAACGATGGTTTTAATGGCGTAGGAAACAGAAGCCGCTCGAGCACATTGAACAACGAGTACTCGTATTCTGACAACAAGCCAACCAGGCCTACCGCACCAAAACCAGTCTTCCGACAACGAACGGGATCACTTGGTCCCAACCAAGCAATCGCCTTGTTCACGTTCGACGCGGATCAAGAGGGGGATCTAAGCTTCAAGAAAGGCGACGTCATTACTATCACGAAACGAACAGAAAACAAGACAGACTGGTGGACCGGCCGGACAGAAGATGGCCGGACAGGTATTTTCCCTTCGAATTATGTCGAGACGGCTTCAATTTCGTGAAAGGAATAGCCGGCAGACGGACATTTCTTGTGATGAAGTAACCTTTATACCCATCTTCGTTTCTGTTTGATTGGCCCATCTAGCGTCGGAGTCTTTCAAGCTTTCAAAAATGGGCTCATGATCTGGCGGCTTGGGTTACTTTCATGGACATGCACAAAAAATACGAGATACATTGAAGGATATACATTTGCATCTTCAGCCTGGCTGCAGCGCCTGTTCCATCAAGCCGCATGCTTTTTCTGTCTTCCTCAATCCCGTTCAGCTGACCGGCACCAGCGGTTGATCCGTTCCAGGCATTCTCTACTCGTACTCGCTGTCATACTCAGAAGCAACCGACCACACCTCGACATCGCGTCAGGGAGAGTCTCGCATATCCTGCCGGGATACATTCCGACCTCTGGAATTCCAGTATTCCGGACAGAGTTCTTCGCACGCCGCTTCGGCACGGATATCGAGAGATGGCGTGGTACCGGGGTTGGTATTGATGAGCAGCCTGGCCGATGTGGATGAAACAGGCTTACACGACGTGGACGGACTCGAACGTCTGGTCTCACTCTCGTCATGGGTGTTAAGAGCCCACTTTAGGTCTCATTGTCTATGGAAAGCTAGAGTCGAACTGATGGCTAGGGAGGCCATTTCTAGCACCATTTCCAGTGGCAGACCTCTGACCTCTCCCGCGTCTGATACCATGGAACTTACCTTACCTTTGTTCTCCGTGATACCATCCTGTTGCGGAGCATTTCAACTTTCTCATTACCACCCGCTAATGCGGTTTAGAGTGTCTTGCGATAACGGCCTCGTTAAGTACTAACGTCCACATTCAAGGTTGTTGTGGAGCAGTATCTGCACCACCTTCAATAAGCATGATTTGACGCGGCTTAGAGTGTATTGCTATATCTTCCTATTCAAGCATTCATAACTGCGCCGTTATCCACGAGTATCTGCACCACCTTCTCGTGGCCAACCTCTGATGCCAAAGAGAGTGCATCACCAAAATATCCTCGAGCATTGACGTCCGCGCCGTTGTCCACGAGTATCTGCAC